GGGTTTCTCTGTGTAGCTTTGGCTGTCCTGGAACTTTTTCTGTAGACCAGAATGGCCTCAAACTCAGAGATCCACCTACCTCAGCCTCCTGAGTGCTGGGATTAAATGCATGTGCCAATGGCTGAATAAAACTCCATTGTGTAAATTTACATTTTCTTTATTCAATCATCTGTTGAGGGACATCTAGGTTGTTTCAATTTCTGACTATTTTGAATAGAGCAGCAACAAACATGGTTGAGTGTCTCTGTGGTAGGATAAAGCATCTTTTGTGTATTATATACAAAAGCAGAATAACTAGATCTTAAGATAGATTCCCATTTACCAGAGAAACTGCCATATTGATTTCCATTGTGGCTGTACAACTTTGCAGTCCTACCAGCAATGGATGAATGTTCCCTTTACTCCACATCCTTGCCAGTATGAGCTGTCACTTTTGTTGTTGTTCCTAGGCATTCTGATGGGTGTAAGATGAAGGTGGTTTTGATTTGCATTTCCCTGATGAGTGAGGTGTTGAACATTCAAGTGTTTTTCCAAGATACTTGCTTGGTCTTAGTCATTGTTACTACATTCACAGTAGCTAGGAAATAGGAACAACCTAAAAGTCCCTAACTGTGATTCCACAATGCTCAGGAAGCTGGTTCTGTCCACATATCACAAAGCCCCCAAGGACAATTCCAGTAGAGTTAGGGAAATGTATAGTGTTTGGCATTGACATTATTCAAGCTTGTGCCGTTCATTATTAATTTCTTTGGCAGCCTGAGTGCCTTTGCTTCTAAAATAGATTTCCAAGGCATCTGTCAAAACCAAAACAAATATTTCAACATAGAAAAACAGGCCGCCAGACTCTTAACATGCAACTGATGATGGCTGTCAGGGCTTTTTACAAACAACAAAACCTAAAAGTAAGGGCAGAACAACTTTGCTCTTTGCTATCCAAATTTGAAATAACTTTAAATTTCCATTTCTTTATTTCCTCAACACTTACATGCTTCTTTGTTCTTTGAATACGCGCAATTTGCATCCATCATTCTTTTGGGTATAGATTCCCTTTGAGCTGAGCTACAGATGAGTCTCCCTTACTACAGGTGTTAGAAATTCCTTGATCCCATTCTGTTCTTTGCCCAGGCTTGGTTTACTTAGCTTTTTTTTTTTTAATGTTTTATTTATTATGTACAGTCTTCTGCCAGTATGCCAACAGAGGGCACCAGATCTCATTCAAAGTGGTTGAGACCCACCATGTGGTGGCCGGGAATTGAACTCAGGACCTCTGGAAGAATAGCCAGTGCTCTTAACCGCTGAGCCATCTCTCCAGCCCATGGTTTACCTAGCTTTACACCATTGGCACTGTTGTTCTTCTACTAATCTCTTCTCCCTCTCCTACCAAGGGGTTCTGTGTCCTCTCTGAGACTGTGAAACCCTCTGATTTGGTGTTAGGAAGACCGTCAGATTAAACGTCATGCACTAAAGTCAGGATGTGTCTGCTTCCTTCTTTACGGCCTTTGCTTACTACTGGTGGCCCAAGCTTTTATCACAGAAAACCTAGTCAACTCAACTGCTCATGAGTTTTAGAATGAGCTACTCCCCTCTTCCAGCTGAGAAAACAGCCATGGTACTTTCTTAAATGGGTGACCTGAGACACAGGTGGCTAGATTAAAAAATACGCTTTAAAAATAGGAACTCCTTACCAATCCTGTAACGGCACAGCACAGTTGGCCGCAAACACGGTTGTGAGGGGATAGCTGCTATAATGCTGAGTAGCAGGACCAGCTAAATTTTCTCACATCACTCTGTTGCTTGGGTACAGGATGAGTCTTTGGTAGGGGTGGGGCTAAAGTAGTGGAGGCAGGAAGAACTGTTACAAGGTTTTTCAGATGGTTCCTCCCTACATTGACTATGATTCCTAATTAATGAATCTGAAACTCAGTAATTTCATCTCTTCTGGGCAGGAGTATGGTGGTAAATGTGTAATAACCAGCTGTTGGCACTGACTTGTAATATTTGGTAATTACAGGGGCACAAATGCTCCTACTGTGACCAATTTCAAGCTACCAACCTGTCACTCCTCAATGTATTGCGAAGCAATGTGTACAGTCAGTTCTCAGAGACCAGCACTCCACTGCTACCTTTGAGCTCTTAAAGGAGCAGCCAGAAGCCTGGTGTAGTGGCACCCTTTATTCCCACCACCCGGGAGGCAGAGGTAGACAGGTCTCTGTGAGTTCAAGACCAGCCTACCCCAGAGGAGGGCTGTCAGGTCTTGTGGTAGCCTTTTGGCCTTTCCATTTCACAAGTTTATTTTCTACAAATGCAGACGAGAAAAAGTGTATGGCAGGGGCTGGACTAGAGGCTCAGCAGTTAAGAACGCTGAAGGTTTTTCCAGAGGGCCCTTGTTGGATTCCCAGTATCCATATGGCAGCTCACAACTGTCTGTAACTCCAGTTCCAGGGGATCTGACATCTTCTGGCTTCTGAAGGCTCCAGGCATGCAAGTGGTCAACAGGAAGATATTCATATACATAAAAATAAAAAATAAAAGCATGGAGGAAGAAGCCCATGTAAAGATGCTGGTAACCTATTGATTTGTCAAATTTTTTTTTCTGTATCTTTAACTATAAGAAGTGATGTCTGTTGCTGTTTCTATCAGTGTGATCGCACAGCTTACTGTACTCAGTGGGTAACAAGCCCCTTACTATGGTTATTCATTTCAAGGCCCAGTGTTTTAGACTGGCTAGTGGGAGCTCCCGGAATAGGCTGCTGTGTAACTGGATGCACCTTCATGGCTGTCAGAGCCTTAAATTCTTTTTTAGAGCAGGCATGCTGAGTCCATTTTGCATTTTTCTTGCCTCAACACTGAAATAGCTGTTTTTCAAGAGGCCCTATGCATATCTTGACAATGAATACAAATTATGTGTATTCTTATTCTGGTTAAAACTCACTCATGATTTGGTAAGCAAAAAAAAAAGCCTCTAACATTTGATCATCGTCAGCAAATCTACAGCAAATCTGGATTAGTACATGTTAATATCATTAGCTGGGATGCTCAATTTGAAGCTGCTTCTGATTTGTGGTGTAGCATATGGTTCTGCCACCAAAGAGTCCGTAATAAACCCATGGGTTTCAGTGGGGAGCTCATGTCTGGAATGGTTCCAGATGGCTGTAATTCTAACATAAAAGCTCATCATAGGCTTTAAAAAGTTAAGATACTTTCCTGAAGCCCTTTTTCTTTGAATGGGGGAAAAGATGCCCCTACCTAAACTCTTCGTATTCCCAATCACCAGCCTACACACAGAAGTTCACTGATGAAGAAAATTCGGTCAACAACTTTATTCAGTGAATAGAGGATGAGGTCCACCAATGACTCCTTGTATCACAGCGTTCCCTAGGTCTCTTAGATCCCAGTACACAATCCTTAGGAGTACCTTAATTTCACTGACATACACTTGAAAAACATTTCTCAAAATATTTTATCTTAAAGCTGAGAAAAGAACAGAGACAAACTTGTAAAAATACATCTTTTAATAAACACGAGGCAACACATCACACCCACTGAGGTTTTTACCTTGTGGTTTATAGCACATACTATCCACCATAGGGCATATATACAAGCAGAGTGGATTTATTCTTCTCGGAAGCTGGGTAACACAAATCTGGTGTACCATCTCACATTTGAGGTTGTCTGCTAAGCTGGCTCCTTAGGAGGCCTTTAAAATTAACAGCTTTTAAACAACAAAAGAAAAGAAGTTATCCACCCCATCTCAATAATTGCCCAGGAGTGCTCCAATGACTCACAAGGATTGTAAATGCATGCTTTCCTTTGATGGCTTTAAAAAACAGCTATTCATGCCAATTCTGGAATGCTAAAAAAGATAATACAGAAACAGCTGTTTCTCTTCCTGAGTGAATTCACAATAAATACTAATTGGAGGCTATAGATGATGATGCCAAAAGACTCTCTTAACAAAGTTTAACACTTGTAGTTACAACTGTGTGCCGCAAACTGTCTTGTATTCTCATTGCTGAGGCTGATTTCTTTCTTTCTTTTTCTCCTTTTTGATTGTGTTTTTGAGACAAGGTCTAACTGTGTGGCTCAGACTGGCCTGGAACTAGCTATGGAGTCCAGGATGTCCAGAGAGATGCACCTGTCTCTGCCTCCTGAGTATTAGGATAAATATCAAAAGCCACCACACCTGGACCTACTTTTAACTCTATTTATACTAAAACTAAAGGATGGTGGAATTCTTGATCCTTCAGAACAATAGTGAGAGAAAAACTAAGGTTAACTAACAAAGGGGAAAAACTAATATTAATCTCAAAATTCCAGCTGCCATTGTCTTGGAATGATCAACACTCACCTTTATCTATGAATGAGAAGAACCAGAGGTGAAAAAGATTGTAAGCGACAATTTAAAAAAACATAGATGCGCATGCTATGTATGGACAGCATTTAAAAATTATACAATCAGATTTACTTGCCTACATAAAGTAATGCTGGACTTAGGGGGGAAGTACTACCTGTCTCTATAGAAATACTGAAATATTGGGATTTGCAAAAGAGGCATCATGAACTGTTTATCATAAAAGCAGCCGCATGGAAAACCTCTACCACACTCCTTACAAACTTAATGCTAATACATGGAAATTAAACCAATTAACGAGCAGCTCAAACCCCATTAAGACCCAACAGCTCTCAAAGTCGAAGTCTTACTTTAGTGTTAACATGGTTTCATCTACTGGATAGCAAATCAGAGGAGACTTCTTTCTTTCTTTTCTTTCTTTTTTTTTTTTTTTTGTTTTTTTTTTTTTTTGTTTTTCGAGACAGGGTTTCTCTGTGGCTTTGGAGGTTGTCCTGGAACTAGCTCTTGTAGACCAGGTTGGTCTCAAACTCACAGAGATCCACCTGCCTCTGCCTCCCAAATGCTGGCAGAGGAGACATTTTTAAAACATCTCTCCTTAATGTATCACCTTAATTTCAGAGGTAGAAAGGGTACAATTTCATCTCTGCTATCTTGCCCATTCTCATGATCTGAAACTGTTATTACAGCTTGGAAACCGAGAGGAGACCTATCAGAAATGACTTTCTAGTGTCCAGGATATTGCTGCTGGAGTACCATAGGCTGTCTGTGCCAGGAAGGCATGTCTCAGCTGGACTCTCTTCCTGGATCAATACTTGACAAGTTCACAAGCTGCCAATAAAGGCAGCCTTTTTGGTGGTTGTCAGTTAGTTTGATGTGTATTAGATCAAAATTTCTACCCAGATGTAGCTACATCCTCCTTTCTGTGTAGGCAGAGCTAAACACTAAAGGACAAGTAGCCAGTGAAGCAGCAGGAACTGAACAGTCAAGCGGCTACCATTTACATCATCACTTACACAGTAGCCACCAAATGAATCTTTGGTGCTGTCACTGACAACAGGCTCCTGTGCCCAACAATTTGTCACCAACCTTGTATTCATTTGTCTTAGCCACTAAGCTGGTATAGGGCATGGCTATCTGGAAAGGATTTCTTGCTCCAGATGAAGCAACAACCTGTCACTTGGCACATTTTAACTCCAACAATATGATCAGTAACTAAAAATTACGGTTTTCTAGAAGTAGCTGGGCATGTCTGTAGCCAGTGCTCATGAGGCAGTTAGGAGAATGGTGGAAAGTTGGAGGGCAGCCTGATCTACAGAGTGAATTCTAGGCCAGCTAGGGATACCCAGCAAGAACCTGTCTGAAGACCAAAAGAAGAAGTTAAATGTTAACCGTATTTAAATGCTAGCCTTACTCTGACATCATTTCAAATGCATTTTACTTTTCACTGAAATGAGGTAGAAGATAGTAATCTTCAGTATACTGATGCCCAGTCAGTTAGTCCCAAGAGAGAACTAAACTACACCTTCAAGCTGGCAGGGTTCCGGAGGCAAACTGCAACCCTGTTCTGACTGAAGTTCCTTGTATGTGAAACTGCTCTTTTCAGTTGAAGTCATCAGACAACACAGGGCCAGAAGTATCGGTAAGGGTCACACACCACAGTACTTATTATGCTGTTTTTATCGCCTCAACTGTTACCACAGGTCTGTTCACGTAGTTCATCAGACATCTACAAGGAGGCTCAAGACCCCTCTAGTATGAGAAGCAAGATAAAAGGAATGTTTCACATTTAGAAGAATTAATATATACCTCAGAAAATCTAGCAGCATTTCATTCTATCAAGATACACAAACCTGGCTCCCCTGACTAGTCAAGAACAAAGGAAAAATTTACACAGGTCCAAAAAGGCTCTTTACGCAGGGGCTGTGAGGCTATGACACAGACTTTCCCGGTTAATTCTCTCTCTGCTAAGTGCTGTGTGAGACTACCGGAATGTCAATCTCGATGGCGGAGAGGCGGGACCGTGACGAGTAGGGCTGTGAGTAGGTGTGCACTCCGGGGACATGAGAGTACAGTGGCTGCCAGAAAGGAGAGGGCAGGGATTTGCATGCACAGTACCAAATGAACAGAAGAAGAGCAGTCATGAACAGACCCCCTGAGCTAGCAATAGTGACAAACACTGCATAGTCAAAGGTAAAGACTGGCTCAAACTTCTTGTTGAGGTGAGTGTTATAAAAGATGGCCCAGATGGATGGAGAGAGGCTCACGGTGCCTGCCAGGAAGAACAGGAGTCCGGCCACCAGGTGGCAGCCTGCACTGTTGACCAGACACTTGGCCAGTTTGATGTTCGGCACTGAAGACCGGAAGGCTGTGTTACACATTCCAATCAGGCAGAGCAGCAAGGCACCCATGGCGATGAGGATGCTGAGGGGCAGGGCAAACTGGAGGACACGCAGGTCCAGCTGGTCAACTGACAGGTACCAAGTGCGGTCGTACATCAGGCAGTCACTGCTTCCATCGTACCGGGCGCACTTGACCCACAGGCCTGTGTAAATTGTCAGGTTCTTCTCGTTTCTGTTGAATGTGATCAGTCGCAATTTCCTCCAGTTGGGAAGCAGAGTCCCCGCGAAGAGGCCCGCCACGGAGGCGATGCCACACAGGAAAGAGAGGACTGTGGCTGCGTGGACATCTCGGCAACCCATGGCAGGTAGGCTTGAGCAGCGGTCAGACTAGGGGTGACACACAGAGGGCAAATCAGGCAGGGCAGGAGAGCACAGCGGGAGCTGCCACCAGCAGCGGCACATTCACTAACAGAGTGACAGCGCAGGGGTCACGTCTGCAGAGCTTGCTGGCTCATGCCTATACTCCTAGCACTTCTGAGGCAGGAGGACTGCTACAAGCCTGAGGCCAGCCTGCTCTCTAATGAGTCCTAAGCCAGATCCCACCCCACCCTTACCCCCGCCCAAAAGAAAGATCAGATGGGAACTCCTGTTTTCTCCCTGTACAAAAGGAATGTACATCAGCATACATGTCCCAGATCAGGTACACACACACACACACACACACACACACACACACACACACACACACACACACACACACACACACACAGTGTCATCACTGTGTCACACAGCAACGAAAATCTTTAGCCATCATCGTTTTTCTTCATAATTAACTAGAGAAACGTCACCCCTAAAATTCTTGGTTAATATTCATCAACATACATACCTGGATCACTTTCTGTATCAGGTGCACAATGAAAAAGGGGACCTTAAGCACAAGAAATTCAAACTATAGCAAGGACTAGAGCACTCAATAACTAGCAGCTGCCTACAAGCACCACAACTGAGTACAAGGAGAAGTCAGGCTCAGGCAGCAGGAGAGCGATCCACAAAGGTATGGAGAAAGCACGGCAGGAGAGCAGGCTGTTAGGGGCTGACAGACAGACGGACGGACGGACAGACGGACACCCCCTGTGCCTTTATTCCTCATCGGCAGTGTCTACCTGACAGGTGTGCCCCCAGGGATCCAATGTGCTCATGGAACGTCTAGAAAACGGATGCACTGCGTGCAGTTGCTGTCTGGGATGAACACTCAGTGTTTGTGCTTCCCAGCTTAAGCAACACTTACTGACTGCATGCCAACTGTGGAAAAAGCAAACTCACCTCACTGCTATCATTTTAGCGTACCAGGAAATTACCAGAGGCGAAATGGGCTCATCTCCAGTGAAGTCAGACGGAGAACAAAAGCCCAGGGGTTTCTGTGTACCTAACCTGTGGCTGATCCAATCCCGCCCACGTGCTTCTCGGGGCCCTCTCTAGCACTTGGTGCTTATAAAGAGGCTAATGTTTGTGGACGATAGGTGCAGACTGAAAGCAGAGCACCTGCCTCTGCTAACGTTCTAACAGAGACAACAGACGGCCTTTCTCTCGCCGCTTCTTTCCTAGTGTACGAGTAACTATGTAAACCAGTTCTGACTCAGATTTAACTACTTTTTTTTGAGAGTTTGCAAGGTTCCCCAGGGCACCATGCAAACATATTTTCCACCATGTGGACAAGAGAGCAGACAACTTTCTGGGCTACACTACTTCTGCTGCTCTTCAAAGCAAGGAAGGGGTGAAGTTGAGAGTAACTTTTATTTCCGGTACAGTATTATGACATTCACAGAATCCATCGTCTTTTCCAGAAACAAGTACTGTCTAGTGAGATGGCACAGGAAGAAGATTCCCAGGAAGTCAGGGTCAGAAAGATAACCATGGTGATGTTTCAGCGAGCAAGCACAATGTTCTTTAGAAAACAATGCTATGTGTGTGCATACGTTATACAGACATAAATTAAGAATAGTTGCACTAACAAAAATTCTAAGCCTGCATATTCAAATAATAAAACATAATTAAGTGTGTATAATATGAAAACAGAGCTTGGCCACAAAATGGCCTTGAATTAGATTTTCAAAGTAAACAAGGGGAGTTCCAAGTTCTCCCACAATTAGCTACACTTGTTATGTCACCTTCTGTCAATATCAGAAGTTGTAACTGTTCCAGAAAAATTTCAGAATAAAATGACAAATTACAGTTTAGCTTTCATGCAAAAAACACACAAAAAAAAGCCACCTCTCTTGCTTAATTTTAGCAACAAGGAATCAACACTTTGGTGCAGATTTGAGAATGCTTGCATCGGGAATGCTTAATGATGCCAAGCTCCAGAATTCAGTTCCAGTTGGTTTTTTGACCCGTTTCCCCACATATGCTGAGCCACTTGTACAGTGCCTGCCTCACAAAGCATTCTAGGGTTATATGAATGAGCAGAGGGCCCTGTGCCAACACCATACAATGCAGTTCACAAATGCGGGCCAGACAAAGAAATGGCTACGGCCGGGTGTTGGTGACGCATGCCTTTAATCCCCGCACTCACACGGTAGGCAGTGGCAGGAGGATCTCTGTGAGTTCAGCCTGGTCTTCAAAGAGAGTTCCAGGACAGCCTCTAAACCTACAGAGAAACCCTGTCTCGAAAAACCAAAAAAGAAAGAGAGAAAGAGTTGGGAGTTGGTGGCCCACGCCTTTAATCCCAGCACTGGGGAGCCAGAGACAGGCAGATCTCTGTGAGCTCGAGACCAGTCTCGTCTACAAGAGCTAGTTCCGGGACAGCCTCCAAAGCCACAGAGAATCTGTCTCAAAAAAAAAGAGAGAAAGAAATGGCTTTGACTGCGGAGTCACTCACTCAGTAAGTATTCGTAGTGTATGACACAAGGAAAATACACTGAAAGGACACCAAGCTCATTGGTCTAGTGTGCTAATAAAAATACGCTGTTCCATGCAAACTCAAAATACTGGTGGTTAATCAATTGTAGAATTACTATGTATTAAGTGATCATTGTTATACATTAAGCAACATAAGCCAGTAAACCATTTATTAAAAAGTTATTGCCCTGGGTTAGATAAAGACTGAGCAATGAGGTTATTCCTGTTTCTTTTAAAGCTTCAAGACTCCTTCAGTTAATCCTCTCAAACTCTTAACTCAGTCACAATTTCATTCTTGCTTCCAGAGATAGGAACCGATACTTACAATTTCAAAGTAATTAGTTGTCTCTCCAAACAGTGTCCTGTACTACCGATGCCTGCAACTCAAAGGCAATGAGGAACAGGATTAGTATATGTAGCTTTATTATTAATACTTTGCTGTAATCGTTCACCTACAGACAAACAATGTTAATGAACATGGACAGACCGACATTCATTCCAGCACTGAGAGTATTTAACTACACCCTGCTTCAAGTCAATGTGAGTTCTCCATCAGTTCTCTGAACTGGCCATGGTGCTACAACAAGGACTAACAGTGCTATACAGTCAACAAAGATACCATGAAACATGTTTCAGAAGAACATTAGTAATCTCAAATCTTCAGGTTGGACATCCGTGCTGAGATTAACGTTTACCATTTTACAACTTCCTTTGAACATCTCATGTTTTATCCTGTTATTAACTCTACCTATCTTTAATTTGATGTCTCATTCCACTCCAAGATATTGTTTTATAGGGTGATGGGGAAAGGATGTATTTACTTTCAAAATTAAAAAACACTGCTGTCTTCCACATTAGGACTTGTGCATACGTGCGAAGGTAAAAAGACTTCTACTTTTGTGCTACGTCGATCAGCTCTATATCCAGAAAATTTCTGAGATGAAGTCTGTCACTTCATTTCTTTCCACTCAGTAGCTCCCCATTTCGTGAATAATGAAGACACCAACAGCCTCACACCTTCCACATGCACACATGGGCCTGTACCCCAACTCAGCTTCCACATGCACACATGGGCCTGTACCCCAACTCAGCTTCCACATGCACACATCGGCCTATACCCCAACTCACAGCTTCCACATGCACACATTGGGCCTGTACCCCAACTCAGCTTCCACATGCACACGTCGGCCTGTACCCCAACTCAGCTTCCACATGCACACATCGGCCTGTACCCCAACTCAGCTTCCACATGCACACATCGGCCTATACCCCAACTCACACCTTCCACATGCACACATCGGTCTGTACCCCAACTCAGCTTCCACATGCACACATCTGTAGGAGTGAACCCCACAAAGCTATCCGCCCATCAGGGTGGGGTCAAGGTAGAGATAAAAGGAAGTAAAAGGAAAAGGGCTTCCCATTTTCTCCTGGAAGCCAGCCACGCTTCTAACTCCTGGTCTGTGCGACTCTCTCTCTGGTAAATAAATATATTGTTTTCCCTATATAGCTTCGAATATCGTTATACACATCGGCCTGTACCCCAACTCACAGCTTCCACATGCACACATCGGCCTGTACCCCAACTCAGTTCTGTATGGGCCACTGTAGCCTTACACACCTGTCTACGTCATCACCTTTCAGATTCGCTACTGTTTTATTCAATTGAGAGCTTGGCCGCAAGATGATCTTCCAAACTTCTTTTTAAGATTTACATTTTACCACCAGTGGATGGTGGTGCACACCTTTAATTCCAGCACTCGGGAGGCAGAGGTAGAGGCAGGTGGATCTCTGTGAGTTGGAGGCCAGCCTGATCTACAGAACGAGTTCCAAGACAGGCTCCAAAGCCACAGAGAAACCCTGTCTCAAAAAACCAAAAAACAAAGATTTATATTTTATATATTTTGTGTGTATGGATGTCTTGCCTGCATGTATTTCTATGTACTGCATACGCACACACACAGTGTCTGAGAAGGCCAGAAGAAGTTATCAGATCCTCTGAAACTGAAGTTATAGATCGTTGTGAACCACATGTTGGTGCCAGGAACAAATCAGGTCCTCTGAAGAGCAGCAAGTGCTTTAAACTGCCAAGCCAGCTCTCCAACTCTCTAAGAACTTTCTATTCTTTGTTAACTCATATCCGGTCATCTGCTGGGGAGACCTACCTAACCATCTCCTGATGGGGAAGTCCTGTGTATATGTCAATAAAGCACTGTTGGCCAATAGGGAAGCAAGATAGGTAGGACTAGGAGTCGAGGAGGACTCTGGGGAGAAGAAACACAGGGAATCATCATGTAGCTGCCATAGGGGTAAGAAATCCAGACCCTTTTCTCCGGTAAGAGAAATACTTAGATTAACAATTATGGGATACTTAAGTCAGAGCTAGCCAATAAGAAACAAGCAAGGTCAACAGATTCATAATTAATAGTGTCTTGTGTGTTATTTGGGGACTACTACGCAGCAGAGCCCAGGCGACTGGTGGGGAAAAACCAAAGCAGCTGGCAAGGAAAAGACTTCTCTCTATAATCTCCCTTTCTGTCCCCTGGCTGCATGATGCGAACAGCCCCGTTTTACTTTACTCTTTCTTTGGTAGCAGTGATAGCACTGTTTTCTCTCTCTTCAGCAGCAGTGACAATGCTCACAACTCCTTACTTCCTCACTGTTTTCTCCCAAAAGTCTGAATTTCAGGCCCGAGACTCCAGCTTGCTCACTGTGCTTACTGCTGGCGTGAGCTGACTGAAGGATAAATACACGCTGTCCACACGTATCTAGTGGGGATACAGAGAAAACTATAAATTTGGTTCAGTGCATTCACTTCACTTGGGACAAGTCACCACATCCTGTTCTTAGAAACACTCAGGCTGTTTCTAGATCCAGTGCTTGTTTTCTGCTCCTTAGGGGCCAAAAACCTCACTAATTTTGTAAAAGGAAAACCAAAAACGTTTATCTAGCAATAATGACAGATTTAGTTTTGGAGTGGTTACTCTGTTCCAAAACAGCCACTTCATATCTGTCACCTGTGCCAAAATGACTTCCATAGAACATTTGGTACACAAGTGTTATGAATGATATCATTTCTAATAAAAAGTACTTTCAAAGAATATCTTCTCTGACTTTGAAGAGAGTTCAAAGAAGACTGATGCAGAAATAGTGTCTAAGAGCTTTAGGAATTCACAAAACCACTATAATCTTTTCGGTGGCAATTCCAAGGAATCACTTCAAAAGAATGTATGTCTCACAGCCACTAAATTAATTCTTGACGTTAACACTGGCCATCCCTTCTATTTACAATTTGGGTTTTCTTGGAAACCGTAATCATCAATCACTGTACCATAAGGGTCCTGTACTGTTACTCCGTTAAAGAAGAAAAGCACAGCAGATAAAGAGAAACATTATATAACCAAAAACCACTCACCTCTTAGTGGACCTGATCCTCCAAAATCAGCTTATTCAACTTAGAAGAAACAGGTGCACAGCTGCACACAAGTAGAGATAATCTGAGCCTACTAAAACAGGAAATGCTCCAAATTAATACTGTACAAAAGTCTCTAAAAACTCAACTTTAATTCTTACAGAAGTAGAAAAGTATTAGTAATCATCTAAACTTAATACAATGCTACAGCAAAACAGGCAGGCAATAGGTTTTCCAATAACACAGTTTAAGGTTGGTATAGGCTCAGTGCTAGGGCCCATCATGTAGAGGGCCCAGGCTCAAACGTCAGCACCACTAAAAAGGGAACAAAACAACACAGAGGATCTACCCTTACACTCACTGCTGGATGTGAGCCCCGGAAGAAAAATAACTTTTACTTTGTGATTTGAAAGTTCAGAATAATTAAGGCTAAAAATCACTTCACTGGTTAGAAATCTATGAAAAAATTAATGGATTTTCTTCCCTCAAGATCTAGTTCATGGCTATCATGAAATAACGAGAATGATGAAAACACTATACAGCTGTCTTGGAATCGAAAGAAACGCAGTGTTTTCTAAAACGTTTTAAAAATGGTACTCACAGTAAAACCAGGCAAAACTGATGTGCATTGTCCATTCTAAAATTTGCAACCAGAATGCTCTTTTTAGTTTATGCCGTATGCTCCCTCCCGTGGCTCAACCTGCCATCTCAAGATGTTTTCCTATCCCTAAACAGGAGTGGCCTCCTCTTTAAATAACATTTAACTCAAACAGGTAGGCTGAGGGAAAACTCATAAATGCCTGCGAGCTTCCTGGGTGGAGGCATTTATCCCTGGTGCTATTACAGTAATTATGCAGGATGTGGCCCGCGCACTGATTTCGGCCCTGGCTCCCCTGCTGGCCACCTAGGGATGCTTGAACTGTTGCCAAGCATGAGCAGAAGGGGGGAGGGGGGCTCATGTTACAATCCAGGACGCCTTCAGGACCCCCGCCTGGGTGACCTTCCCCAGGGAGGTCAGCCGGTGTGGCAGCACTGTGAAGCGGACTCTGTGGCCTTTTCCAGCACAGAGCGCGGGGTGGGGGTGGGGATGGGGGTGGGGGATGCAGCAAAGCGAGCTCGCCCCTCCCTCCCTCCCCTCCCCTCCCTCCCTTCCCTCCTCTCTCCCCACCCCTCCCCGCGGAGGAGCCGCGTCCTCGGGAGACCCCGAGCGGCCGGCCAGGGAAGGGGGCGGCCGCGCACAGCCAATGGGACGAAGCCCACCCCGCCGCGCGTGGGGCCGGCCGCAGGTCGGCGTTCCACAACCGGCCGCGTCAGCCGCGCCTTCGGAAGCAGCAGCTCGCGCCCCCCGGCCCCCGCAGCGCGGCCCCAGACGGCCGCACTCCTCAGAAAATGTCCTGACGCTCGGCCATACCTCCTCAGCCGGTTTCCGCGGCCCCACGGGCGGGCCACGTCCGGAAGGCCGCCTCGCCGTCTCCCACGCACCCTCAACAACTTGCAAAAGACTCCTGAGCACACCTGCGGGTCCCTCACGACCCGAGCATCCCTGCTCGCCCACCCGGAGCGCACGCTCGCCGCGTCTCCCCGTGCGGCCGCCCCAGAGGCTTCAGGAAGCCAGCCAGTCTGGCTCTCCCGGGGCCCTGCTCAGGAACACCTTGGCTGCGCGGAACTACAGTTCCCAGCATCCACCAGGCCTCAGGCCACACCTCCTCCTTCCGGCTCCCGCCTCCCTCGCTTCCTCTTGCACCGTTATGCTTAAAATGGGGTCACGCACACGCGTGAGACACGAAATTGAGGGACGTTTGAGTACTCGTCAAATGTTGTCCATTTAGTGCAAAATAATAAGCACACAGGTTTACAAGAGGCCCACTGCATGTTACTTCTCTGGTTATCTAACAGTAGGCAAAAGGTGACCTACTTTCCTACGTAAAAATAGATACTAGGAATTTAACTTGACTCTTGTACACATCAACTGTGCTCTCTCGTCTCCTCTTAAATACGAGTTCCGTGCAGGTAAATATCTCAAAGGATTTCTATACAGTAATAATCTGATTATTAAAAAATGAAACATTGAAGAAATGTGATGCATATGACTTCCAAAGGATTCCACCGCACCATATACACACGCACAAATGGAGAAACCAAAAGTGTGGTCAGTGTGGACTTTTTTTATTATTTATGATTTTTTCATACATTCTGATTCTATTCTTCCGAGGTCCTCCCACCTCCCTACCAACCCAACTTCATGTTATTTCTCAAAACAAAACCAAAAAAGAATCAAAAGAAAGCAAAATCTCAATGAAAAAAAAACAAAAAACACCAAACCAAATCATGATGAAAAGCACACACACAAAAAAACATGGTGTCTTGTTTTGTGTTAGCCAGCTAATCTTGCGGTGGTGTCTTCTGGAGAAAACTGATCTGGTTCCCAGCAGTTATCAATTGCAAAGAGCCTCTATGTTAGGGAACAACTTTTGCATCTAAGCAAATATGGTAATGTTTCTATATTAGTCACTTAAATGTTCTGTAACTTCTCAATTGTGATTTTCCAGAAAGGATGGAAAACTCACAGTTGACACAGCTGTAAAAGATCTCATTCCATTTCTGTTCTACTCTGCCCTGGTGTGATCTTGAGAACAGTGTTGGTCTATAAGTACAACAGTATTCTGACACACAAGTACTTGGTTACTAGTAGTTTCCATTTTGTGTTGCCATAGTAACAATTGGACTGTTACTCAAATAGGGGGACGTCTATTATCTATCTGTGGCTGTTCTTTCCCCATTAGTGATATAGTGCCTCAGACATGAACAAGTCTATCTAAGGCCAGAAACCATCAGCCTCCAACCAGAGCTGGAGGAAATGCGTCTCTAGTGCGCAGGTCTTCTCTGCCTTCTGGGTGTGGATGAGACACCTCATGGCCCCATGCCTGTGCCACCACGATGGGCTGTCCATCTCAAACGTGGGCCAGAGTAAACCCTTCTTCTCTGCGTTCCTCTTGTCAGATCACAGTTCGTCACAGCAACGGGAAAGGTAACCCAGCCCCCCTCTGTCTGCAGAATCATCAATAACTGGCCAAGGTATTCTCACCAGTGTTCTGAAACTTCCTCTTCCACCTCAAGAACCCTGCTGAGGACTTGGGCACACCCAGATAACACGGGATGTCACAATTTTATCGACCTGATTAGCAGCTTCAGCCCAGACTTTACCCCCACATACACACCTTGATATGTAACAGACATGTTCAGACTCTGGAGAAGAGGATGGGGTCACCTTCTAGAAATATTATTCCATCTTATTATATTTCTAAGAACCGGTTCCATGCCAAATCCAGAAATCTGCTTTTGCAGTTTTAATTTTCCCAACTTTCTTTTACCAGTTGTTCAAAAAATTTTTTCCTTGAATTTGAAAATGCTGCCGTTTCTAATTTCCCTTGTTAGTTCGTTGCCAACCTTTTGCTTTTATTTTCTTCTCCCCAATCTCTGATATAATTGGCAGCAGGCTTTGTCTTCCTCTCCTCCCTCAGTCACGTTCTTGGAGAGGAACAACCTGTTTTCTCCAGTCCATGTCTTTGGCCCAGACTGGCCATCACTTTACTATGCAACTACCACGGCTTGACTGCTATTGTTTCAACTGCAGCATTCACTGGTTCCCATGAACTCTACTCGCTATGGTATTCGCCAGTTCTTTATACGAGTGGCTTCTCTTTATTACCCATCTTCACTGATGTGTTCTCCACACTTTACTTAAATGAGGACCCACAACCTGATTCCTCCATTATGAACAAAGAAAGCAAGAGAAGACCGTTCCCAGTGAGTTAAACAGACAACACCCTGAGCTCTTAAACGCCCAGGTGTGGTGGCACATGCCTATAGCTACTTGGCTGAGGCAGGATGATCATTTCAGCCCAGGAATTCAATCAAATGCCTGTCTGGGCAGTGTAGAGTGAATTTTTAAAAAATAAGAAAGAAAAGAACACAGCACAGGAAAAGAGAAAACTGTCTTTTGGTGTATTTTCAAAAACTGTTAGGAATCCATAGTACAGTCCATAATAGGAAGTATGGTAGCATGTTTCATTGTATGTAGATATAATATTGGGGATTGAACCTATAGTCTCACACATGCTAAGCACTCAGCCACTGAACGATATCCCCGGCCTTAAAAACAATGGCATTCATTCATTCTTTAGTCAGGGTTCTATGTAGCCCAGACTGAACACTGTTACCTTTCCTCCCACGCCTCCCAACTAGCTGGGGCTAAAGAGCTGTTATCACACTGCAGCACACTTCCACTCTGTAACAAAGTCACCACCTGAGGAGAGGAGGGACAGCGGATGCTACTCAAGTTTGTCTAGAGGCTTTGCCTGTACCTGTTTTCTGGTTTGTACACCTTTTAGTGTAACCATGATGACTCCACTACTACCTCCTGCCCCAGTCTTTTTTTTTTTTTTAAAGAGAAACATGTGCCTTAGACTTTTGAAGGAATATATAATTTGGAATTAGAACATGAATGGTTCTTTGGTTCTTTGAAATAGATTAGCTTTTATGGTCTATGTTTCACAGGAAAGTCCATCTGTGTTCATCATCCAGTTCTTACTATTCTTGATGACAAATGGTACCACTTCTGGGAAAGATCTGTTTTTGAAACCGAGGTTCAATTATTATATAGTACTCTTGTTTCCCCTATTACAATGCAACTGACTAGGGGCTTCTGCTATTTTATTTAATCATGTTTCAAATCCTTCCAGTCAGAAGCTTTTACTCAACATCTGTCCTTGACTTAAAACAGTCTCCATATCCTGCCTGCAATTCGTAGCAAATCATATACAAATAGAAATAAAGGTATACTTTAGCTGTATAATTATGTCTTCTTGCTCAATACAATAAAATTAAACCAGTCTTTTCAAGTCTTTTTATATAGAAATAATGCCAAAATAATGTTTGATAACCAACAAAGAAATAAAGGCATTGACTAGAAAACACTGGCAACTTCAGCAAACCACATGGAATATGAGGTCATGAACAAAGGAAGCTTTTGTCCTTTGCTTTCAACTTTGAACACTCTCAGAGTTTAGAAAACAAATGGGAAAAATACTTTGTCATATATTGCTTCAAAATTAGTTATAATATAAACCACATATCCTGTTCTTCAAATTCCAAGTATTTCAAAGGTCATGACTCAGACAGTAGCTATGTTTCACCAGCTTGGTATCTGAGCATCCCAAAGACTTAATTTCTATTGTAGATACTTTAATGGTATGTACAAAGAAGATAACTTCCTCTACAGTCTTCCAAGTATCTGATAATTATTAATAAACTGTCACATGGTGAAAACATTTAAAATTATAATTTGCCCCAAATGAGTGGGTGGCTATGATTAGAAATAGTAGCTAAGATCACCGCTGCCTTTTTCATACCAATCATAGTCAACAGAGGCAATGACCATACCTGTTTCTCCTAAGGAATTTTCAACATTCAAAATTATCTTTCTTCTATCCCTCTTTCCATTTCTATTGCCTACTTTCTATTCCCCAACTTAAACACCCACACAAAGACAGAAATGAAGCCTTTGATGGGTATGCTCCCTCTACTACCAATTTTAATCAGAAAAGAGAAAACAGTCAGAATTCAGAAATATAATCAAGATAACCTCTTTAAGGAAAAATAAAATAATAGCCTGCTTTACTTTCCATTGGTTTTGCAGTACAATGTCTTAACTGCCAGCATTTGATGTCAACAGCCACCTCACTGGCTTAATCCCAAGTTATAAAATTTTGCAAAGCAGACTATTTCCCCAAATGTCTTTAAAAATATACTATTTGAGACTCATAACATCAAAAACATTTTTTTACTTACATTTTTTTTTTGAGATAGTCTATGTAGCCTTGGTTGACCCGAAACTCACTTGGTGGATCAGGTTGGCCTCAAACGTAATGATTCATAGTCTCTCTGGAATTAAAGAAATATGCCACCATCCCAGCTTCTCAGAACATTTTTAAAAAGCCTTCCTATATGTCCCAGTTAACATTAAAAAAAAAAAAGGCCAGGAGGAAATGTACTGAAATATTTAGATGATACCCATGTCTAAGTGCATAGCCTATGGTGACAGTACTATTTTAGCTCATGTGACAAACAGCGCAGTCCTTGTACTCAGACAAAATTCCCAAATTTGGCCAGGAGGTAGTGGTTCACGCCTTTAATCCCAGCACTCGGGAGGCAGAGGCAGCTGGATCTCTGTGAGTTTGAGACCAGCCTGGTCTACAAGAGCTAGTTGCAGGACAGCCTCCAAAGCCACAGAGAAACCTGTCTCGGAAAAAAAAATCCCAAATTTGTTCTATTTGTTTATTCTATATAAGTAAAGTCAGATTTAAATCAAATTTGCAGTACTCTTAGGAACTAAAGGTATACATTAAATTTATTATATTCTTTAAACATTTTTCATATTTTTAAAATAAGGTATCTTATATGTATTTGTATTCTGTTAATTTTTGAAAACCATAGTAAAAGCGTTTATGCTATTGCTCTGAAATATTTTCATCACTATAACTGAGCATTTGTGGTGTTGAGGGTCAAACCCAGAGCACTGTACATGAGTCAAGTGTTCTATCACTAAGCAGCACCCGCCACCACCGAAACACTTTTAACGTATTTTCATTCTATAAATTTTTGCATGGAATGACCCTTTGCTGTCCTTTCAGTCTACCCTTACAAATCAGAAAATATTTCGCGTGCTTGTGTACTTCTTTGTGTTTATCAAGAGATCTTTAGCTTGCATTTACCACCTCAAGAGAATCTCTCGCTTCTCTGGATGCACGGCACCCGAGCTTGGTGGGAACAAACTTTACTGGAGAGCGGGGTAAAACCTGAGGTAGTGCACCTTTGATTCAAGCTGTCGTGTTATGAAAGCAGACTGGGCACTGAGAAGACCAGGGGGTAAAGTACTTGCTGCATGTGTGGAGACCTGAGCTTCATCCTTGCAACCCATCTAAAGGTGTAAGACGAAAACAAACGCCATAAACCTGTCCTCTAACCTCCACATGTATGCAGCGGCACACATGCCGTTATAAATAAATTAGTGCTTTTGAAAAGCAGACATCTCTCTTTACATAGCTAGCACATATTTATCATTTAAAAGGAAAATATCTAAAAGTAGGTATTTTGAAAGGTAACTTGAATAGCCATGGGAGGGGAACAAAATTTATTTCAAGAAATGCTAAAATATGTTCTTCAAGGTAAATTAATTAGCCACAAAGCTGCTTTTTGATTTTCTCCTTTAACTGAATATGATGCTGGGGGCTGGGAAGATGGCTCGGCCATTAAGAGTTAGGCTCACAATTAAAATGTGTGCTTGCTATTCAAACATGAGGATCAAAGTTCGGATCCCAGCATGCAATGTAACAAGGCTAGCACCCTGCAAGGTCTGTAACTCCAGAAGTCCAACCCAAGGCCTCACGGTTGCACATGCACATGGGTGTGTACATGTGGGCACACTCATGCACGCACACATGCAATTGTTTTATGAGATCTAGGGCTTCTGCTTTTGTTTTGAAAAGAGGGTAAATAGACTATACCTTCAATAACTAGAAAATCCTAATAAGTGGAACATGATTGTGTTAGTAGTAGTCTGGGCATCACTGACAAGCATATGACTCATCTTCAGCATCTACGTCCCTCATGAAGGACAAAAGCAGAGCAGAGCAGACTGGTGACCTCACCCCGTGAAGCTGTCCCGACACTGCTTGTCAGTGAGAAACAGCACCAATGGACAATGGTAACAACTTGGTGCTTTCCCTCAGCTGCACTTCCGTGCTGTGAGGCAGGCCATGCGCTCCCTGCAGCTTCTGCTGTGCAGTAAAGCAGGATCTGTCTGTTCTTTGTAACCCACCACGTGTAACACCCTGCATAGTGCTCAGTAAGTACCTGCGTAAAGAAGAAAAGGCCACACAGGAAGAACCAGTCCAGGTACTAGAAGAGAGGTAGGCATAGCGAACAGAAGCTAGGATCAAACTGAAAGGATATTTATAAAAGCACCCACATTATCAAGTCAGGAGAAACTTTAGTTCAATCAATACACAATTGTTAAAAACCCACTTTTTAAAAAGGGGTCAATTACTACAACTGTTGTTAAGCACTAAATTATCAAGTGATTTTTAACAGAGAAAATGTATTATTAAAGAGAGGGGCTGGTGAGGTGGCTCAGCAGTTAAGAGCACTGGCTGCTCTTGCAGAGGACCTGGGTCTGATTTCCAGCTCACACGGCAGCTCACAACTGTAGGTTAGTGCCAGTTCAGGGCATTCGACGCCCTCTGCTGGCCTCTGCAGGCACTGCATGCACACGGTGCGCAGATTTTTGTTGCAAGCAAAACACCAGTACACACAAAATACTAAAATAAAGCATACTATTAAAGAACAACATTTTTGAGACATGGTCCCACTACAAAGTCCAGACCAGCCTAGAACTTCCTAAGCTGCCCAGGAGGCCTTCAGAATTCCCCACTTCTTGCCAAGTGCATGGTTACAGCCCAAACCACCATGCTTAGCTCAGGAATGTTTAGAGCTCATTAACTTGCTGCTACTTTGTAAAAAGGAAAAAAGAAAAAAAAGACGTCAGAGAAAGTTACAATGAACTCCTTTGGGTAAAAAAATAGAAATGCAAAACTTCCTGTAGAAATGTAAGGTTCTGACAGTGCTTATCTGGGAGACCGGAGGGCTTCAGCAAACAGAAATGTCAGTTGCCTCGTGCTCCGGTATACTGCTTGCATTTTTAAAACAATTTTTTAAAGTGAATGTGCATATTTTATAACAACTTTCACCAAAAGAAAAAAATCTCTATCTGTTTTTGTTTTTTGAGACAGGGTTTCTCTGTATTGTTTTGGAGGCTGTCCTGGAACTCGATCTGTAGACCAGGCTAGCCTCGAACTCAGAGATGTGCCTGCCTCTGCCCCCCCACCCCAGTGCTGGGATTAAAGGTGTTGGCTCCCAATGCCCGGCAAAAATCTCTACTTTTAAGTACTGTATAAATACTTTAATTAGGAATTAAGAATCCTGGATTAGGATCTTGGAAGGCAAGATCACCCACCGAGCATATGAATCATTTACTCTTCCTAGAAGCTTCAAATGGCCAACACCGAAATTTGGGGGAAAAAAATGAAAAATAATGTAATAAAGACAGGGTAGTTGTGAGAAACTTTAACATCCAAGTAGTTTAGCCAGGGAGGATTTGTGTTTACTGAACCGTCGCCTTTGACCCAATCAGGCATTAGTCAGACCATGAAGTTGAGCTCCCACCAATGGGAAGAGACCCAGTCACCACCCACAACAGTGATAAAATATAGGAACATGATGGTCTCGGTGTGCATGCTACCCCAGTTTGGGCTTGTGTATGCTTTTTGCAAAAAGAAATTGCTTTGCTGAGTTAATACCAGAAGAGGAGGAAGAGGAATGATGACACCTATATCGGGAAACCTACTGATAAAGACTTATCTTATAAATGTGGAAAAGCTTTCAAATTAGTATGACTGCAATATCATGCATCTTCATCATATACAGTGTGCATTGAAATACAAAATAAAGCTAATTTAAATATATTTTCTCAGATATTTTTGTGGTCAGAACACTTCCTTGCAAATTTTCGAAACATGACACAGGGTCCTAACTATAAACAATCAGCTATACAACAGATCTGCATAGAGTAACTGAAATTTTGTATCTTTTGAGCAGCTCTCTTAACCCTTTATTACCCATCCTTAATAATCACCACTTTCCGCCGGGTGTTGGTGGCGCACGCCTTTAATCCCAGCACTTGGGAGGCAGAGGCAGGCGGATCTCTGTGAGTTCAAGGCCAGCCTGGTCTACAGAGCTAGTTCCAGGACAGCCTCCAAAACAGTGCAGAGAAACCCTGTCTCAAAAAACAAAAAACAAAAAACAAACAAAAAAAAAATCACCAGTTTCCAGGATTTCCACTTGTTCAATGTTTTTTTTAAGATTCCACGTGTAAGGTGAGATCACGTGATAATTGTCTTGCTGTGCCTGCCTGGCTTCTTTGAACAGAAAGCATTCCACACCCATTTGTCTTTCAAATAACATGATTTCCTTCTTTGTTGGAACCAAAGAGTATCCCACCAATACATTAGAGTGGCAACGGCAACAGCACACTTGGATGTGGCTTACTCTAAGATGCTGTACGGGAATCTACAAACTAAGCAACTGTTTCCTATGATATGCATCATTGTCTTTGCTGTCCTGGTCGTCCAGTGACTTTCTCACACAGCTCTTCAACTCTTCGATCCCTTCCCCAGTAAGCGCCGAGATGGGGATGATATGCTGGAACTCCACAGCCTTCTCTGGAAGCATGCTTTTTTCAAATAAATGCAGAAATTCTGAAACAAAGAACAGGGGGTTTTCATGGCCTTTTTAAAAGTTAAGTCAAAACTACAGAGAAGCAAGGAACTGACAAGCTCGCTCCAGGAAATCCTCTCTCCTGCTCTGCCCTGTCTCAGTAGCTCTTGGGATCTTTGTGTTACTATTAACAATTTTTAGCACATGGTAAATACTTGGTAAGTAACTGTCGAATTTATTCTAAACCAAATGAAGAATAAATATTAGGTTACGTCATGACAATACTTAAAAGAATAATAAATTTGCTTGAGGAGACTGAATGAGACAAAATAAATACCCTGAAAGGAAGTTCCCATAAAGACATTCTGCTTGCCTTAGCACACACATAAGCTTTAACTTCCCTCAGGCACAGGCTTAGCACTACTTAAATGGACAGCAGGATCCACATTTAAAACTGCAGCATTATAGGCCCAATAGCTCAAAGGCAATCATTTTCTCTGAGTCCAATCAATCACTTAGGGTCTACCAGAGCTACATGACTTCATCTTCTCCCTCACACCATGGGAGTTGGATGTGAGGTGATGGGACAGCGAACTGACTGTCATACAGACTAAAATGGGCACACGGAAATCATCATGGAGCCTGGCTTCTAAGAGTCAGACACCCAAGACAGTGCAGAGAGACAGACTCAATTACTGCAGTAGTCTCAGGATACATACAGGCTCCCGAGTTACCCCTGATTTTAGTACCGCCACTTGCAAGATCAACAAGCAAAGGGAACTACTGACCTAATAAAGCAAATGTTATAAAAGAATGAAGACGATTAGGGAGTATTTATGTCCCAGGACTAACTTAGGAACTCAGGGATAGTTCTACATATACATCATGTAGGGGAATGATTTTCAAGAGAAGAAAAATGACCCTGGTGCGGTCATTTGATATATTGTTCTTTCAAGGTCTGTGAAGAATTCTGTTGGGATTTTAATGGGGATTGCATTGAATCTGTAGATTGCTTTTGGCAGGATTGCCATTTTTATTACATTGATCCTACCTATCCAAGAGCATGGGAGATCTTTCCATTTTCTGAGGGCTTCTTTAGTTTCTTTGTTTAAAGATTCAAAGTTCTTGCCATACAGATGTTAAACTTGTTTGGTTAGCGTTACCCCAAGATATTTTATGTTGTTTGTGGCAATTGTAAAGGGTGATGTTTCTCTGATATCTTTCTCAGCCCTTTTATCATCTGTATATAGTAGAGCTACTGATTTTCTTGAGTTGACCTTGTATCCTGCCACTTTGTTGAAGGTGTTTATCAGCTAGCTGTAAGAGTTCCCTGGTAGAGTTCTTTGGGTCACTTATGTAAACTATCATATCATCTGCAAATAGTGAAAGTTTGACCTCTTCCTTTCCAATTTGTATCCCCGTGATCTCCTTTTGTTGTCGTATAGCTCTAGGTAGAACTTCGAGTACAATATTGAAAAGGTATGGAGAGAATGGACAGCCTTGTCTTGTTCCTGATTTTAGCGGAATTGCATTGAGTTTCTGCCCATTTAGTTTGATGTTGGCTGTATATAGCTTTTATTATGTTTAGGTACGTTCCTGTTATCCCCGATCTCTCCAAGACCTCTATCATGAAAGGGTGTTAGATTTTGTCAAAGGCTTTTTCTGTATCTAGTGAGATGATCAAGTCTTTCAGCTTGTTTATATGGTGGATTACATTGATGCATTTTCGTATGTTGAACCAACCCTGCATCCCTGGGATGAAACCTACTTGATAATGGTGAATGATTGTTCTGATGTGTTCTTGGATCCGAATTGCCAGTATTTTATTGAGTATTTTTGCATCAATGTTCATGAGGGTTATTGGTCTGAAGTTCTCTTTCTTAGTTGTGTCTTTGTGTGGCTTGGAGATCAAGGTTATTGAAGCCTCACAGAAAGAGTTTGGCAAAGACCCTTCTGTTTCTATTGTGTGGAATACTTTGAGAAGAACTGGTATAAGTTGCTCTTTGAATTTCTGGTAGAATTCTGCACTGAGGCCATCTGGACCTGGGCTTTTTTTTTTTTTTTTTGGTTGGGAGACTTTTGATGACTGCTTCTACTTCCATAGGGGTTATAGGTCTATTTCAATTGCTTATCTTTTCTGGATTTAAATTTGGCAAGTGATAGCTATCCAGAAAATTGTCCATTTCCTTTAAATTTTCAAATTTTGTGGAGTACAGGTTCTCAAAGTATGACCTCATGATTCTCTGAATTTCCTCAGAATCCGTTGTTATATCCCCCTTTTCATTTCTAATTTTGTTAATTTGCATGTTCACACTCTGCTGTTTGGTAAGTTTGGACAAAGGTTTGTCTATGTTGTTGATTTTCTCAAAGAACCAACTCTTTGTTTCGTTGATTTTTTTTTGTATTGTTTTCCTAATTTCTACTTTACTGATTACAGCCCTCAGTTTGATTATTTCCTGGCATCTACTCCTCCTGGGTGAGTTTGCTTCTTTGTGTTCTAGAGCTTTCAGCTATGCTGTTAATTCTCTAGTGTAATCATTCTCCAGTTTCTTCCTGTGGGCACTTAGTGCTATGAACTTCCCTCTTAGCACTGCTTTCAAAGTGTCCCATAGGCTTGCCTATGTTGTGTCTTCATTCTCATTGAATTCTAGGAAGTATTTAATTTCATTTTTTATTTCTTCTTTGACCCGGGAATGGTGCAATTGTGCATTATTTAATTTCCATGAGTTTGTAGGGTTTCTGCAATTTGTGTTGTACTTGAATTCTAATTTTAATGCATGGTGGTCTGATAAGATGCATGGAGTTATTCCTATTTTTTAGTACCTGCTGAGGTTTGATATGTTGCCAAGTATGTGGTTGATTTTTGAGAAGGTTCCATGTGGTGGTGAGAAGGTATATTCTTTTTTTCTGTGGATGGAACGTTCTATAGATGTCTCTTAATCCCAATTGGGTCAAAACTTCTATTAGACCATTTACTTCTTTGTTAGGTTTCTGTCTAGTAGTCCTGTCTAGTAGTGAGAGTGGGGTATTGAAGTTTCCCACTATAAGTGTGTGGGGCTTTATATGTAATTTGAATTTTAGTAATGTTTCTTTTACGAACATGGATGCCTTTGTATTTGGGGCATAAATGTTCAGAATTAAAACTTCATTTTGGTGGATTTCTCCTGTGATGAGTATGTAATGACCTTCTTCATCTATTTTAATTGATTTTATTTTTTTATTTTTTTGGTTTTTACGAGACAGGGTTCCTCTGTATTGTTTTGGAGGCTGTCGGTCCAGCCTGGCCTCGAAGATTGATTTTATTTTAAAGTCTAATTTATTAGATATTAGGATTGCTACTGCCGCTTGTTTCTTGGGTCCATTTGATTGGAAAATCTTTTCCCAACCTTTAACTATGAGGTAATGTCTGTCTTTGAGGTTGAGGTGTGTTTCTTCTATGCAGCAGAAGGATGGGTTCTGTCTTCTAATCCATTCTGTTAGCCTGTGTCTTTTTACGGGTAAGTTAAGGCCATTAATATTGAGGGATATTAATGACCATTGATTGATCATTCTTCTCTGATTTGGAATGGTTGTTGTTGGTGGAATTCCACCCCTTTTTTTCTTTGGGCTGTTGGTAAAGTGGGATTATCTAATGCCTATGTTTTTCTAGTTGTAGTTAACTTCCTTGGGTTGAAGTTTTCCTTCTATAACTTTCTGTAGGGCTGGGTTAGTGCATATGTATTGCTTGAATCTAGTTTTGTCATGGAATGTCTTGTTTTCTCCATCTATAGTGATTGAGAGCTTTGCTGGGTATAGTAGTTTGAGCTGGCATCCATGGTCTCTTAGTGTTGGTAGAATATCTATCCAGGACCTTCTGGCTTTCAGAGTTTCCATGGAGAAGTCAGGCGTAATTCTTATAGGTTTGCCTTTATATGTTAGTTGGCCTTTTTCCTTAGCTGCTCTTAATATTCTTTCTTTATTCTGTATATTTGGGGTCTTGATTATTATGTGGCAAGGGGACTTTCTTTTTGTGGTCCACTCTATTTGTTGTTCTGTAAGCTTCTTGTACCTTCATTGGCATGTCTTTCTTTAGGTTGGGAAAGTCTTCTTCTATGATTTTTTTGAATATGTTTTCTGCCCCTCTGAGGTGGTTTTCTTCACCTTCTTCTATTTCTATTATTCTTAGGTTTGGTCTTTCATGTTGTCCCTTATTTCCTGGATGCTTTGTGTTAGGGATTTGTTGGACTTAAGATTTTCTTTGGTTGATGAATCAATTTCCCCTGGTGTATCTTCAACACCTGAGATTCTCTCTTCCATCTCTTGTATTCTATTGGTTATGCTTGTATCTGTAGTACCTGACCGTTTTCCCAGCTTTTCTATTTCCAGCCTTCCTTCAGATTGTGGTTTTTTTTTTTTTTATTGTCTCTATTTCAGTTTTCAACCCTTGCACTGTTTGCATTGTTTCTTGCAATTTTTGCTTTGTCTTTTCGTCCACTTGTTGCGTTTTTTTTTCATTTTTTGGTTTGTTTTTTCTTCCATTTCTTTCATTTTTTGGTTCTTTTTTTTTCCATTTCTTGCATTTTTTCGTTTGTTTTTCCTTCCATTTCTTGCATTTTTTCGTTTGGTTTTTCTTCCATTTCTTTGAGGGATTTTCCTATATCCTCTTTTAAGGCCTCATCATTTTCATGAAGTTGTTTTTAAGGTCATTCTCTTCTGCTACACTTGCATTGGAATGTTGGAGTCTTGCTGGTGTGGAGTCTCTAAAATCTGGTGGTGTCATATTTGTTTTTCTGTTGCTGAGTATGTTTTTGTATTGTTTCTTTCCTATCTCTTCTTCTAGTGGGTACAGAAAGAGTCCCTTATTGGTCTAGTGGTTAGGGGACCAGAGTTCCCTTTCGGTAGGTGCAAGCAACTCCAATACTCTGGAAGTTCTCCTCTTCCTGGTCCTAGTCCTGGTCCTGTAGGTGGAGAAGAAGCCCAGGAATCTGGGGTGCGTAGTCTCCCACCTGGTCCCCTGGTCCCGTTGGTGGAAGAGAAGACCTGGGATCTGGGGTGCGTGGCTCCCGCCAGGATGGGAAGCTCTGTCAGGACAACACTGTTTTGCAACAGTCATTTGCCAAACTGTAGGAAGTCTCTGTGTTGTTCTGAGTAAGAATGGCCCCTGTAGGCTCCTATGTTCGAATTCATAGTCTCAAGTGAACTCTTTGCTAGAATTACAGGATTGGGACGTGTGGCCTTGTTGGAGGAAGTACATCCCTGGGGGTGGGCTGGCATTTCAAAAAGCCCATACAGGGCCCAGTGTCTTGTCTGTCTGTCTTTCTGCCTGTAGAGCAGGATGTAGGTCTCAGACACTGCACCAGTGCCATGCTCCACCCTGTCCACCCCCATGATGATGATGGACTAAGCCTCTCAAACTGTAAGCAAGCCCCCAGTTAAATGTTTTCCTTTATAAGAGCTGCCTTGGTCATAATGCCTTTTCACAGCAACAGAACAGGGACTTTTTGACATAGTGGAAATATTTCCATTTAAGAAATTCAGAGAAATCCTTTCAGTCACAGGATCGATTTTCTGAGTCATATAGCCATAGGACTAAATATTCTTTTCTAAAAACTAATATTCTTCGGAGTTACTACATTAACAATTAAACAGAAAACCTCTTAAAACTATGAGCTCTTGGGCTGGAGAGATGGATCAAGGGCACTGGCTGCTCTTCCAGAGAAGCTTGGTTCAGTTCCAGCAAGCTAACTAATAACCATCTACAACTCCAGTCCCAGATTTGACACCTTCCAATGGGCATGCACATGGTGTAAGACATACATGCAGACAAAACACCCATAAATATATAAAATCTCAAAAAAAATCAGTAAAACCCTACTAGGTTTGTTAAAGCACAGTGTGTAGTAGTGAGACAAAACTGTAGTGCTGATAAAACTGACTAATGTTTCAGAGTCCAGTTGCTGACTTTTTCTCCTTTTACCCACATTTCTTGTGTTTTGGCTTTGCTTTCTTTTTTTAATTTTTATTTTATTTCCAGGTGGTCACGAGGGTATACAGCTTTAATCCCAGCACTAAGGAGGCAGAAGCAGGTGGATCTCTGAGTTTAAAGCCAACCTGATCTACATAGTGATTTGTAAAGCAGCCATAGCTACATTATTAAACCTTATCTAAAAATAAGAAGAAACAAAAACTAATAAACCCAAGAATCAAATGAAAAGATTTATTTTATCTCTAATGAAGTGTATGAGTGGATGTCTGGGTATGTAGATGTGTGTGTGAGTACAAGAAGAATCGAACCCTCCTGAGGCTGGAGTTCTGGGTAGTTATGAGGCCCCTGACATGGGTGCTGGGAACCAATGTCCTCCTCTACAAGAACAGCACAGGCTCTCAAAGGCCGAGACATCTCTAGGTCCTCTCTTGTATCCTTTAAAGGTCCACATAAATTTTAATTCTTTTGGATCAAAGTAATCTTTCTTTTCTTTCTCTAACTTAACTGTATTACTCACTTTGAGACTTGATAATGACTGGCCAATGTTATTTCAGTGTTTATACATTATGTGTTCTTTCTCAAATATAGTTTCTCAGAGTAGAAACTACAGGTTTTCTTTCCCATTGATTTTTGCTATTATTGGTCATACTAGTACACACTTATAATCCCAGCTCCTGGGAGGTGGAGGCAGGAATTCAAGCTAGCAAATTTGAAGCCAGTCTGGGCTACAGGAGACCTGTCTCAAAAACTTAACCCCTCCACCAAAAAGAAAAAACCAAAAAGCCTCAACATTCTCTGTATACAGCTAGTACCAAGGACCACGAAAGTGACAGATGCTCACCTGCAGGGCGCTGGAGCTGCTCCATCAGCTCGTCAAGTTTAACCTGGGCATCTGGCAAGTCCATCTTATTAACTGCCAAGAGTGCGGGTTTTGTCTGCAGTTCCTCTTTGTATAACTCCAACTCCTTTAAATAAAAAAAAAGAGCCAAGTTTCATAACAGCATGTATATAAATGAAGGTTATGGTGATCTTTCTTTAATGCCACAAGGCAATAAATCCCAATAAGTATAAAACAAAGGAAATTCACAAAGTGTTTTTTGTTAAACCATGCGAATAAGATATTAGCTTACATGACTTCCCAGAAGCAGCTGACTTTGTGCCTAGAGCCAAATGCAAGTAACAAGACTCAACAGAGAAAAGACTCATAGGCTAACAATTTAATACTGTTGCATTCTTTGAAAATATTTAGGAGTAAATTTAAATAAAGTTATGGGGGTGGCTAAAGAATTAAAACAAGAAAGATTGTTTTTTTCTTTTGCTTCTTACTTTGAGGGGTTAACATGACACTCAATCACAGATGCCTAGTAAGTATCCAATCTGTAGTGTAAGCAAAAGATCTGGTTATTACAGATTTAGCAGTCAAGTGTACGTTTACTGTAAGGAATGAGAAATAATGAAAGTAGGCCAGATTACAAAATAACTCTCAATAATCTTGCTTAAATGGTAAGACAAGTGCTGGATTTGTCTACATTCATGGTTTGATCACCAGTCCTCCACCAGAGAAGAAAAAAAGTGAGGAGAGTTTTTAAGTGGAGGATGTTTCAAGAAGACAGACCCCAGAGCAGAAGCGAGATAAGATGTGAAGGGTTGTGGAGCACAAGAGGGTGACACCCAGGTCATGAGGAGTGGGTGAGCACTGAAGAACTGGGAACAGCAATCTTTAACAAGATGGTTATTTTAGTTACTGTGTGACTCCCACACATGGGGAACTAGCTCCAGAACACAGGACATCAGAAAACTTACTTTTGTGAGAAGTATTATAGTTTCAAAGGCAGTTCTGTATGGAGTTACAGAAGAAAGCTGAAATCCAGAAATATCAACCTAAAAAAGAGAGAAGAGAAAACCCAGAGCATAAAATAGTTACTCAGTTCTATGCCTAGCAATGTCTCTTCTCTCTCAATAATTTCAAAGAATAATTTCTCAATCTATATTTTACTGGTAATTTAGTCATTCAGTGCAAGAACAGAAATTGAGTTGTCACAATAACTATAAGCAATACTATAGAATGAGTCACTGATAAAAAACTAGTACAGACAATTGCTATCAATATAAGCAATCTCTTCCATAACTCAGGCATCACTAATTAAGAATAAAAGAGATACTTCTAAGAGTATGCCAAAATCTCAAGGAATCAAATCTTGATAACTATGGCCAAATGTACATATAGTATAGTAGCAATTACATAGTGATTTGTCCCCCATTCAAACAGGCTTACTGGAGTGATATTTACTAGTACAGTCATGTACTTTCTAATACCAGGGCTGCATTCTGAAAACATGTCCAATGATTTTATCACTATATGAACTTACAGAGTATGATCACACATATAAGATGGCTGTGATATTACCAGGTTATAAAAATTTTTGATGCCTCCATAAGATATACAACATAGTCCATCAATGATGAAAATAGGATTTTGTAGCACATTATCTCTTTAATCTTACTTACAAAGTATTTCTAGAAAAACCAAGTTAATTCATTTGAATATCATACTGGTATGTATATGACTTACAACAAAAAGCAGCTGTCTGGTTCTCTCTACATGCTTGAGGAATTTGTGGCCCATTCCTTTGTTCATATGTGCTCCTTCTATCAATCCTGGGAGATCAGCTACTGAAATCTAATACAAATTAATGATTTGATGAAAAAGAAAAATAGATGAAAACAAAGTTCAATTTATTCCCAAATTTTCAAACCACATGTAGTTTCTAATTAATCACTCTATGGCATCTTTGAAATGTGTTAAAGTTTTTTAATCAAGTATTTCAGTCCCATTTTAACTCATTAGTCTACCAATCTACAGATATTGAGGAGTTAGTTCAATATTTATTACTTTAACAGTTATAGTGAGTTAAGTGTGTAATTTTCTTTTCACAAATAACTGAATTAAATAATTAATTAGTGTGTACATATGTTTTAATGTATCTTTTGGCCTCTTTCACTGAGCAATATCTTCTTTATATTTTCGTGGCTTCATAACCCATTAATTTTTAGAACAGACTATTCCATTCTCCAGGTATAACAATTTATCCACTCACATAGAAAGAGGTTCTTGATTGTTTCCAAGCTCTAGTAATTTTGAATAAAGCTGCTAGAAACACCCATGTACAGGCTTCTCTGTGTATAGAAAGAATAGTCCTTCCTAATAAAGAATGTAGAGCAAACCTCAATGAAACATCTTCCCCAGAAGCAGAAAGCTGGAATGAAAGTTTCCATAGAAGCACCATAGTTTCTATAGAAAGAACTTTCAGGATTTGGAGAGTAACAGTTCACTGGGGTAGTGCGATATGGGTATATCTGACAAGATGCAGATTAAGAAGACATAATTCTATAGGGATAACATAAGCATAACATTTGGAAGACCAAGAATAAATTTGTTTGACGGGGTATGTCCTTCTGTATATGTCTCTCTTATCGGTAGATGAATAAAACACTGATTGGCCAGTAGTCTGGCAGGCAGTACAGGCGGGGCTACGAGATAAGGGAATTCTGGTGAGAAAAGGCAGAAAGAAGCCGCCAGAGAGACTCCATGTAGAGGCAGAAGGAGTAATATGACGGGGTATTACCCAGTAAGCCAAGAGTACATGGAAATACTTAGATTAATAGGAACTGGTTAGTAGTTAAGAGAGAGCTAGCCAGTAAGAAGCCCTAGCCATTGACCAAACAGTTTATATATTAATCTAAGTCTTTGTGTGTTTATTTGGGGATAACGGGCTGCAGGACCTGGCAGAACAGAAACTCCTACACTTGTTTTACTCTAATAATGCTGAACAGAATTCTTTGTTCATAGTTTTACTTACCATAAAACAACAACAAAATCCTCTTTGTTTTTTTCCTCCCAGACCATAGGCATCCTACTACTTAGCTGGAGAGATGGCTCAGCCACTAAGACTCTCATGGGAGATCCAAGTTCAATTCCAAGCACCCAACTCAAGCAGCTCACAACTGCCACCTCCAGTGACTGACACCCATCTGCCCTTACACAAACACACACCAAAATAAAGAACAATATTTTTAAAAGTCATAATAGCAAAAAAAATTAAACCTCTAAGCATGTGTTGTTTCCCTTTAAATACCAACCTGTTTAAAATCACTATACATAATCTTTCCAAGTTCAGGCTTTAGTGTTGTAACTGAAAGGAAAAAGAACAGCAAATAAAGGAAAAAACAGAGGACTAATTCTCTAGAAAATTGCCAGCACTGTATATAGAATGAAAATTATGTGCCTTCTGAATATTTACTCCCATTCTAATGAAATGGAAGCTGCATTTTCTCTGTCATTCACATCACACTTTTATAAAGACAGACTTCTGTGCTCTGGCTTGGGGTGCTATTGCATAGCCAGGGGCAGCTTGACAATGCTTAGGGGCTCAGAATTTAGGTTCTGATCACAATCGCTGATTCTGCACTAAAAATTGTCTTTCTTTTCTCCTTAAAAATTCATTAACTTTACGTATGTATTTATTTACATGGGGGGTTACATGGAATAGTATGCATGTGGAGGTCAGAGGACAGCCTACTTGCACCAAATGTAAATACAATCCAGGGTTAGCAGCAGGAACCTGTGCACTAAGGCACCTCACAGGGCCAAGTAAAATCCCTCCATCCGTTCTCATGTGAGTTGTGCTTATGCCTTACCACTTAGGACTTTTTTTGTCTTTCCGTCTGTCCTGGCTAATCCAGCTTGTCAACGTGACAAACGCAAGGAAGAAGAACCTCAACTGAAGAGTTTGGCTTGTAGGCATTCTATGTGATATGTATATATGTATGCGTGTATATGTATGCATATAATTTTTAAATGGCTAATTGACGGAGAAAGGCCTAGTCTACTGTGGGCAGGGCCACCCCTGAGCAGGTGGTCCTGGGCTATACAAGAAGGGCAGCCGAGCAAGCAGGAGGTGCAAGCCAGTAAGTAGCATTCCTCTGTGGTCTCTGCTTCAGTTTCTGCCCTGAGGTCCTGCCTTGGCTTCCCTTGCTGATGGCTTATAACCTAGAAGCCAAATAAACCCTTTCCTTCCCAAGTAGATTTGGTCATAGTGTTGGTCACAGCAAGAGAAGCAAACTAGAACACCTCCATGCTTATTCTACAGAGTCTCACGTGTTAAAACAAACACTATGTAACTAATAGCATTAGACCAAAAATTAACTACTTCATCAGATTCTAAGTTTTGAATGGGTCAATCTTATTTTCCAGATTAATGCCATTCTGTGCTTTTTTGTTTAATAATGGCAAATAATTCTATTAGATTCACTCAATACCTTTAACCTAATCTCTCATTGTATCTCATCTATCTATTGCACTAGCGTACTAATCAAATTCATTAATGCTTTATGCCAATCAATTTCTATATTATAGGCTGAGAGAACTTTTGGAAAGTCTAGATTATTCCTTAGATAAAGTTTTCCAAATACTCTTAAGATGTTTAATAAAAGACAAGCCACACAGTCCATGCAATTTGATCTTACTTTAACCTCACTTCACTCTGTCTCTTACTTCATGTTCTCTAGACAAACTTTCTCGTAACTACTAAGCCGAGTACAGGTTGTTTCATGCCTTGAAGATATTTAACCTCTATACGAAGGCATTAAATCAAATTATTATTCATAGCTTGGCCAAACCTTCTATCAAGAAGGTCTATACTTATCTATACTCATTAACAAAAAACTCTGAGGTTAAGAGCACTGACTGCTCTTTCAGAGGTCCTGAGTTAAATTCCCAGCAACCACGTGGTGGCTCACAACCATGGCTCACAACCATCTATAATGAGATCCTGGTGTCCTCTTCTGACAATAATAAATAAATAAATTTGGAAAAAAATCCTTTCATTTCCTTATCCTCACTGAGATGCACGCACGCACATTCCTTTCTCCCTTACAATAATCTAAGTATAAATATAACTGCTGGTTTTGCTTATCAGTTTTTCTAGCAGCATAGCCTAATATGGTTTCTAGAAATAAATACTCATAAAATTAGTAAAAATGTTCATCTGTTTTCCCAGTATTTATCAAGTGTGCAACAAGAGCTAAGCAACTTATAAAATCCTATATAAACCAAGTAAGTGATTGTGCAACAGAGAAATAGATGCAGCAAAGTTCCTAACAAGGACAGGAAACTTTTGTGAGGATGGCAGTGGTCTGAAAGAGTACAAAGAAATGCATGGATTCTAACTGCTGAAAGTCTTCAAATGAAAGCTGAACTCGGATTTTTATTATTCTTATGCAATGCACCAATTATACTTACATGCATAATCTGCAATCTCAGGAGTTGCATGGGACACCCGACTTAGTAAAGAAGATTTTCCAGCATTTGGGAATCTGAAATAATACATTACATACTGTAACAATACAATGCACATATTCATTATAGCAAATACTAATAGTTGCATATTTCTGGATTCCAAACATTTCAAGTGTTTACTGCTCTAGTTGGTGGTGTGAACCTGGAGAGTGGGGCCTAAAAATGAGAAGAACTACAGTCTTATGCAGTAGCCTAATTTCAGGCAATTTACACTCTGAGAGATAAGAAGAATCCCATGAGTAAGGTGTCCAATCCCAAGGACAAGCCACCCATGGCAAAAACAGGTTTCTTCCATAGAGGCACATGAATAACAACAGCTGAAGTCTAGTGTGTGGGAATCAAGATTCACTAGACTCAGTACAGGTCGAGTGAAGTTTATTCGTGGAGAACGCACTTACACAAGAGGTGGGTGGCCGCTGCAGGTTCCAGCTCCAAGGATCCACCCAGGCTGTACTCTGTGACCCGACCCAAAGCAAGAGCGCTCTAGGTTCCAGGACCCCAGATTTAGTCCTCTCCTCCATTACATCCTCACCTGTGACCACACCCAAAGGGGCGTGGTCAGTGCCACAGGAGTGGGAGGGACAGATACCTCACTACAGAAGTCAACTCAGTCCTATCTGCTATACCTGGAAGGAGTGTGAAAACACAGTCCAAGAACAATCTCATGTTTTGAAGAAACCAAAGTCACAAGACTCTTGTCTTGTTTTCTTGGAATTCCCTCACATGAGTCCATTGTTGGACTATGTTCCAACATCAAGTACATTTCTAGCACACACCTTTAATCCCAGCATTCAGGAGGCAGGTGGATCTCTGAGTTCAAGACTAGCATAATCTACAGAGGTAGTTCCAAGACAGCAAAGATACACAGAGAAATCCTGTCTCAAAAAGCACCCCCTCAAAAGAAGTAGATTTCTTGACTATTTCTGGAGTTAAGATTAGAATATAGGGGATACAGCTCAGTAGTAGAATGTGTACTTTGTATTCAAGAGGCCAAAGAGTCAATTCCTCAGTCTTCTCCACAAAAGGTTGTAAGTCCAAAATAATACTGGAAAACTTGAGAAAATATATTTATGAATAAAGTAAAGATATGAATTTAAGAATTAAGAGAGTAAAGTACATTTTTTTTTTACTTATGTAAACAAAATGAATACTTCAGGGCTGGAGAGAATGGCTGAGGGGTTAAGAAGAGTTTACACTGCTTCGGTATGCAGTATCCATCCTGGGCAGTCCACATGCACTGGACTCTCGTGCTCATACCCCACAGACACACAATTACGAATGAGTTTTTAAAGCTCAAAACCTTGTAATTCACTCTCTCCTTTCAATTAATTTCTTTATGTATAAGGGTGTTTTGTTTGTATGTCTATGTGCCACATGTGTGTCTCGTGCCTGCTGAAGTCAGAAGGAGGAGTTGGAGCCCCTGGAGTTACAGACAGTTGTGTATTGCCATGTGAATGCTGAGAATTGAACTGGGGTCCTCTGGAAGAAGTGCTGGTGTTCCTAACCGATGAGCCAGCTCTTTAGCCCCAAAATTCACTATCTTTAACCAAACACTGACAAAACACTATTTAATGATTTCTGGATTATGAACATTTTCAAACAGACAAAAATACAGAAGTAATTAACATAGTAATCACCTGCTTTGATTAATATACTACCAATTTTTAGTTTTTTAAACTTAAGATTACAATTGAAACCTTTCTTCCTTGCTTTTCTTCCCTCCAAACTGTCCCGTATTCTCCTCCCCACTCTCCTTCAAATTCTCTTCTTTCATGAACTGTTATTACATGCATTACTCCATAACACACACTTATTCCCAACTATAACCTGTTCAGTCCATGTAATGATTTCATACAGTCAGTAGTTACTGAGTTTCTAGCACCACGCATGATTTCCCTCTTGTTGAGTATGTCCTAACCCCAATCAGAGAGCTGCTATTTACTGCCAATGTACGCATGCCACTATTGCATCCTGAGGGTTAGGGTGCCATGCTGGTTACTGATATGGGTCATAGGCATCACAGGTGGGTGGAAATGGGTTGCCTTCCTCCTTTGGAAGCCTGCATGGTGATTTCTGATTCCATGTAAGATACTCTTCAGAGAGGAGACATTCAGGTCAGTTGCAGCTCAGAAGTATCCAATTTTTAAAATCTGATTGCTTAGATACAAATTCAAATAAAGCTTTGGCATTATATTAGCTAGACTGTTTCTGAAATCTCTTTTTCATATAAGCTTCTCTCCATTTTGCTTGTCTTTGCAATTTATTTTTTAATATTTTTCTTTTTGTAAGACTTATTTATTATATATTCAGTGTTTTGCTTGTATGTCAGAAGAAGGCATCAGATCTCACTAGAGATGGTTGTGAGCTACCATGGTGGCTAAGAATTGAACCCAGGACCTCTGGAAGAGCAGCCAGTGCTCTTAACTCCTGAACCATCTTTTTAGTCCCTGCAATTTATTTTTAAAAAAACTGGGTCATTTGTCCTATAGAGCTTCTTTTTTACACAGTTTAGAATTTTCTGCTGCCATGTACACAGCATCATTTAATATGCTCCTTTGCCCTGGATTCTATAAGCTTTGTTCCTCTAGAGAACCCTGACCAATACAGTATGCCTTGATTTTTTTAGAATATTTCATAGTTGACTGACCTGCTTTTAAACTTCATGACATTAAAAACAACTTTTCAATGGTTAATATACAACTTACCCGGCCAGCTTTCTAGTGACAAACATTTATATTGCTTCCAATATTTTACAATTATAAATAACTCCAAAAAATATGTATATAACAGCCATCAAGAGGCCATCAAGATGGCTCAGTGGGTAAAGTCTGACTTCTGTTTGATACCTGAGATTTATATACATGTACTGTAGCAATTGCACGTCCATACATAAATACACAAACACAAATAGATGTAATAAAATGTGCATACAATTAGAAATATATATACCATTAACTGATATTTTAGAGCGGTAGGATTAATAACTAAACTGTTCTTTTATTTTCTTTCTGCAAAAACTGTATATACAGCTGGGCGTTGATGGAGCATGCCTTTAATCCCAGCACTCTGGAGGCAGAGGCACATGGATCTCTGTGAGTTTGAGATCAGTCTGGTCTACAGAGTGAGTTCCAGGTCAACCTCCAAACTAATACAGAGAAACCCTGTCTCGAAAAAACAAAAAACAAACAAACAACAAAAAGTGTACATATTTGTCTTACTTTTTTAAAAAATTATTTTAGGTATGAGTACTCCATCTACATGTATCCCTGCATGCCAGAAGAAGGCATCAGATTCTATTACAGATAATTGTGAGCTGCTGGGAATTGAACTCAGGACCTCTGGAAGAATAGTCAGTGCTCTTAACCACTGAGCCATCTCTCTAGCCCCACTTTTTTCTAAAAAATTTAAGCAAAGGGCTGGAAAAATGACACAGTGGTTAAGAGCATGGGCTGCTCTTCCAGAGGACCTGGGTTCAATTCTCAGCCACCACATATGTGCCTTCTGGTTTCTGTCACGAACACAAGTAGTACATGGATCTACATGAAGACAAAACACTCATACATATAAAATACAATACAAATTAAACAATATGGTGACTATCTTAAATCTATGTATCTTTAATTTCCTTATTGTAATATATTTCTACATGAGTAAATATGGGTTTAAAACATTAAAACTTAAAGTCTTTTGTCTTTACTGCTATATTTCCATTAAGGGTCTGCCTTATATGAAATATTAAATATAAGCATTAAGCAAAATAATTAAACTAAGGGTAATGTAAACAATATTCCTAAGGACCCACCTGCCCTGCCACCACCCACAGGTTCCTTGTGTGATTTATCTAACCCCTCCATCCAGCCACACCTCTGACTTCCTCCCCTAGGGCCGAGCCTGGTAAGCCTCCTGGACTTCCTCATTCATGCCTTCTCCCTAGCCAGCCACAGGCAGCCTGGGTCACATATCCAGTGCTAACATACAAATTATATAGACTAGGAATATTAACTGCCCCAAATTATTATTTACATTTATTTTATAGTCTTGGTCTGCTTGAAAGCATGATACAAATACAAATAATACTTACCCTACTAGGCCCACATCAGCTATAACTTTCAGGTCAAGGTGAATTATTTGCTTCTGGCCTTTCAAAGGCAAGAAGTTTGTATGTAATTTACCACCAATGCCACCTTTAGCAACCAGAAGTCTATCTTCTTCTTTATTGAGTTCTCCTTTAAAAGGAAAGACAACAAGCATTAATAAATAAAACTAATAATACATTATATTTTGTTTTTGCACAAATACATGCCAAGAAATTCCAATTTAGAAATCGAAAGGTTTAAACTTATGATTTAATTTATTAAAAAAAAATACAACGTTTTTGAAAGCAACTCCCTAGGGCTGGCAGCTTAGAAGCAAAGTGTTTGTCTTCCACCAACACAAGGCAAATAAATACTGACCCCCCCCCAAAAAAAACACTTTTGTAAGCAGCAAATAGGAAAGTGATCAATATGTTTTAAAACTAAGTAGGTACCCTAACCTCCTGAAAGCCATCTTAAATCTAGCAGCAGGGTTTTGAATACTCTTCATGTACATTTAAAGAACATTAAATAAGCTAGTAGCTAAAACTATAAATGCTAAAGAGCTTTCTTCTGTGAAATGGCTTGTTGTGGAAAGGCACCTGCTACCAACCTTGATAACCTGAGCTTTATCCTGAGAACCCGCATGACGAGGAGAGAGCCGTAAAAGGCTACTGTACTGCTTTCTAAATTAATGTTGGAAGCTCAGAAGTTGCAGCACACTTACCTATAACTTTACCATTTTCATCAGTTACTGAAATGCCCACAGGCACAGGGATTTCACAGTCTTTTCCTTTGGAGCCCTTCAGTGCACTAACTCTACAAAAAAACAAAACAAAAACTACAAAATTAAATGATTTACAAAGGCGACTAGCAATCAACCCTTCTCACTAACATAGATACTAAAAGGTTAAATACTAAAGATTATTTCTATTATTTTACATTTTATACTGTGTCCTGTAAAAATAGAAATAAGTTGTTAGCAAGCCAACCACTAAAAGTCATTTCAACCTGAAATGAACTAATATTTGAAATACAAAGATGATTGCTACAGTACAAATAAAGTAGAAAACCCCAGCAAATTCAATGAATATATAAATCTTCTAAAGAACTGACCACAACTGGCAGTACTTAAATTATAAGAAGCTAATTGGCTACTTTAAAACTTCTTACATGAAAATAAGTTGGTATAATGGTATAATTTTCTAACAGAAACTCCACTTGAAGGAATTTATCAAAAAATTGAACATAAGCATTTGAATAAAGAAACAGGGCTACTATATTACAGAGAGTACACAGGGTATCATTCAATTTAAAAAAAACATCATCAACACGAGCCTAACCTAGCAAATGACAAAATATTAATTCAAATATTATGATATACATAGTATTTGTGTATAATAACTTTAGGCATGAAGGGGTTAAGCTAAAAAGAAGAGGTTGTAAAGTATTGTGCTTTTTTAATCTTATTTCTTTTTTTTGTTGTTGTTGTTTTGTTTTTTCAAGACGGAGTTTCTCTGTATTGGTTTGGAGGTTGTCCTGGAACTCCCTCTGTAGACCAGGCTGGCCTTGACCCTCACAGAGATCCGCCTGCCTCTGCCTCCTGAGTGCTGGGATTAAAAGCGTTCGCCAACAACACCCAGCCATTTATCTTATTTCTTTATGCTGGATTTTATATACAAACACATAATTACAGTTCTGTGTAAACACAGAACTGCATTAGATAAGTCTATTCAAAGCAAATAATGGTTATATCTGGGTGAAGATTTACAGATGAAAGACTTTTTTTCATGGTGGTGAGTTGCAGTGTCATTGCTGAAATTTTGCCCAAGGTAAGTCTGGAAAAAAGTAGGGATTGAGATAATACCTATTCCCATAGAGGAAATGCAAAAGAGACACTGGGAGAATAAATGAATAAAGGTCAAAACCACCAAAATAGTCATTGTTAGACTTTTGCTTGGTTAGAACCACAGAAAATAATTTACTTGGAGTTATTAGTCAAGTTCTATATTGTTTCCCCAGAAGGGTTTGCCTTTCATGATGCTAAAATCATGCAATAAGCACTTACCGACTGTTTGCTCCTCCTCCAGCCACAAACCGTTTCTGAGGATATTTGTTTTTAAGTTGCTTTAAAGTCATGTTTTTATGGGCTACAACCCAGACGTCGCCACCTCTTCCGCCTTCTCCACCTAAACGAGGGTAGCCCATTCCACCACTTCCTCCCTTGGTGAAGAGCCTTACATTATCAATGAAATTTCCATACTGAGAAAGAGAGGGGAGAAAGGATGTTTACACACCAAGTGACATCAATTTAAAGGTTCTAGTTTCATCCTACTGAGGCTTCTTTCAAGAAGTCAAAGTTTTCTGCATGAAATTTGCACAGCCTTTTCTTAGATCACCTCCATTTCCCACTGATTGCTTCACCTATCCTCAAGGTCTCTGCCCTTTCTTTCTGTTTTCATGCTAAACCTTCTCTCCTGGGTGATCGCAGTAACTAACGCTAGGAAAAAATGTAAGCCATTAGTAGTTTAAAACAACTGAAAGCAGAACTTGTTGATGGGTATCTTGAAACTGAATTGATGTTCCCTCCAAAATAAAATGTTACAAGAAAAAACAAACAAACAAAAAAACCAGCAACAGCGAAATCTGTTCCCTCAAATAATTATCAGTTTATTCATTGACCAAGATTGAACAAATGGATAGCTTTTCACTGTAATTGTGGCTTTCCCAGAAATCTAATTCTTTTTCTACTACCACTGTTCTTTTAAAACCTCCCCTGTGAACTCGAATGATCTTTCAATGTTTCATCATTCCTTCTGAATGCATCCACTACTGAGAGCCAAGAGCTCTTTTTTCTCAATGAACCTGATGTCTGTATTATCCTCTACACAGAAACAACCATGACGTTCACTGCTTACAGAATAACAAACAGCATTCACAGTACCGTATTCAAGTCCTTCACCCTGTCATCCCAGTGGTGTTTTTATTTGTTACAACTTTCCCACTCCTCCTTGGTCTTTTCCCTGCAACGTTCTGCCTCAGTTTCCCTGCCACTCACTACTCACACTATCATAGTCTCCCATGGGACCTCAGATCAGTTCCCAGCACCCACACGGCAGCTCACAGCTGTCTGTAGCTCCAGTTACAAGGGTACTGCACCCTCACACAGATGTATACATGCAGGCAAAACACCAACGCACATAAAATGAAAATGAATACAATTTTAAAAATATATATGGTTTTATGCTCTGAGGCATCCGTAGAATGTTGTTCTCATTGACTCTTACTCTGCCTTGCTGGCTTCCACAGAAATTGGATTAAACGTTATGAAATCTTTTTTGTTGTTTTTTGAGACAGGGTTTCTCTGTGTAGCTTTGGAGCTCATCCTGGAACTCGGCTCTGTAGAGCAGGCTGCCTTAGAACTCACAGAGATCCACCTGTGTCTGCTGGGATTAAACGCATGTGCCACAACGACAGGCCTGAAATCTTATTCTACATTTAGTGTCTCTATTTTCCTCACTAAATCATTAAATTCTTATAAAGATCCTGTGTATTAACCCCAGGCTTTAAAACTACAGAGAATATTATGTTACTATTCACATTTTTGATAATCTGCAACACTCTTAGGTATCAGAAATACCTTGGGCTTTAAAAATCTGAAGATTAAGCCAGGCGGTGGTGGCTTCCAGGACAGCAAGGGTTACACAGAGAAACCCTGTCTGGAAAACCAAACAAACAAAAGTGAGGATTGACCACACTCATATACTCTTGGTAAGGGCTTTTAAAGCTATGTTCAACATGTGATTTTTTCTTTACTTTCTAGATTTTATTAAGGGATCTTACAATGGTTGTTAGTTAACAGGAAATGGCTTAAGTAAGATGACTTTTAGTTTTCAAAAACCATTACTAGTTTGAGTGTGCGTGTGTTTTGTTTTTAAACCGAAGTGGTTGGTTGCAGATTGCCATGAAAATGGACTCTAAGACAGTCACTGCATAGACGCTGAAATCTGTCAGAGGCACAACAATTACACAGTTCGGATTCCAGAAAAGGTCTTCAGAACGACACTGAGAGCCGTACAAGGGAGGAAAAACGCATTAAAAACAGGCTACGGGCACTACTTTAAATAACTAGAGCCCCAACAAAAGCCGCCGAGGGCCACCCCGCGTCTAGGCGGCGGGCGGGCAGGCGGGCGAGCACCCCAGGGTCCCTCCCGCGAGCCATGGCGTTCTCTGGCCATCCCCAGGGCGGGAGACCCCCCCACGGGCCTAACCACACCAAGAGACACACGCTTCTCCCGCACAGAGAGCGGCGGCCCCGGGCAGCGGCGACGGACACCCGGCACGGACCTTCCTCCACAACGCGCCCCCGCAGCGCACCATGACCGAGCGCCCTCCGAGCCCGCACGCACCAAAGCCAGGCGCGCCTCTGACGTCACTGCCGGCGAGCGGGCCGGCGCGTGCGCGCGAGAGGCGGGGCTCCGGGGCGGGGCAAGGGCGGGACCGGGCGGAGCTAGGTGCGGGGGGCGGCGGGACTCGGCGGAGTGCCACGCCTATCTCATGGTCGCCGAGGACGCGATGAGGTGCCAGATTCTTCTCTCTGCGGGAAAACCCTCCGGCAGGAGTGAGGCCGGACGTGCCCAGGACGCGGAGAGCCCCGGAAGACGGCCGCATGACGTCATCTCTGAGCAAGCTTTAGCGTCAGGAGCCCGGCCACTCACAACCCGTGGCGCAGGAGTACTGTGAGAAGAATCTGTGTGCAGTGGAGGCAGACCAAAACAAAACACAAAAACCAAACCCGTATCGGGGAGTCAGCCAAGCGTTCTCTCCTGTCCCTGTGCGAATTAATGTCCTTGTGTGATGGCTGTCGGCGTGAGACCTTGAGATTACATTCCTTGGTCGGGGGAGGGAGCATCAGGAAGAGGTTGGGTGTCCGCCCGGTGCACCACCTCCCTGAGCTTTCAGTGCCAAAATGTGCACACGCGAGCCTGCGCGGCTCCTTTTATTATTTCCTATCGCCGGAATGGTCAGGGTTAGAATCCATCCTGGCGGATTGCAGCTCCCTCATGGTCACCGGCCAGGGTGGTGCGGCCGAGAGGAACGATAAGAAATTGTTACGTTCTGTTTACACTATGAGATGTTGTATTTTTTTCAATTTAGTGACTGGACAGAAGGAGGCCCCGGGCATTGAGGCCTCTCCCTAGCTGGCACCTTGGCAAAGGCTTGCCTCAGAACTATGAAATTAGAAAGTTACAGGCGTCTGCTGCATGTCTGAGCCTTAGCTTAGAAAAGAGGACAATCTTAAACCACAAATCGGTCGTTGGGAAGGAGGCAAGTCCTAGCCTATGGGAAGAAAGGCATTTTACCAGACCGAGGGACTTTAGAAACCATCCTCTTGGGCCAAATCACCAAGTCAGCCATTTTTGCCCTTTTTTTTTTTTTTACACTGGAGTCCTTTTCTGCCGAATGGTATATTAAAAACTGCTTCATTTTTTTTTACCAGTCTCTTGAATTTATTATTAATGTGACAGCTTCTTCACTTCTCATTAAAGACAACTCTTTGAAAACACATACTATGGAAGCTACTGCGCTGTTAGATTCTTTGAGTGTTATTGGACTTGGAAGTTTAGTTGGTTTTTAGTGTTGGGCTTTTTTTAACCTATGTAGATTAACAATGAACATTGACCCAAATGTCACATGTTAGTCTCCATCAATACACTTGCCTTTCGCCGGGCGGTGGTGGCTCACACCTTTAATCCCAGCACTTGGGAGGCAGAGGCAAGCAGATCTCTGTGAGTTCGAGACCAGGCTGGACTACAAAAGCTAGTTCCAGGACAGCCTCCAAAGCCACAGAGAAACTCTGTCTCGAAAAACCAAAAAATAAAAAATAAAAAAATCATATATACACTTATCTTTCATTGATCAGAGTACCAGTTGCTACTATTAGACGTTTCCTGTTAAATCTAAAAAAAAGTTATCATTTGAATTATGTCAGAATGTTTAGCCTAATACATGCATATTCTGCTTATTTTTGATTGTTGAATACAAGCCCATTGTCATTCCCATAACATAACCAGAAAACAATAACAATAAATGAAATATAAATAAGAAATTGATACCTAAAATGCTAAGGATCATTGGTGCTGTGAACAAAACATGGCTAGAGCATGGGATATTTTATTATGACTCTGATTACAAGGCAGAAGGACCTTTTAAATCTAATAAACTCTTTCACCTACAATTGACATGAGATGAGGCTAGAGAGATGACTCCTTGGTAAGAGCACTTCCTGCTCCTCCAGAGGTCCAGAATCTGGGTCCTAGAATCCAGGTTAATTGTCTCACAGACTCAAGTAACATCAGCTAGGGAAACCTCTGACGCCCCCTTTTGGTTGCTGTAAGCACTTTCACGAACATACATATATCCTCACTGGAAAATGTGCATTCTTTCCCAGGAACATGGCTTCTCCAGAGATGAAAGCAGGCAAACCACTAATCTCAGTAGCACTCGGGAATTTTTCATGTTAGCCAATAAAGTCACAACTTGATTTAAAAATATTTCCAAACAGCTGTTTTCATCAACATTTTAAACATTTTTTTGAACTGTCTTTTCTTTTGATTGTGAAATTTCTTACTGTAAGCCCTCTCTTACCCTCTCTCCACCCCAGTTACTCATCTTCCCTACAAGTCTCTTTCCCACAGTCTTGTCTCCTCTTCATCCTTTGAGACCCAATGAGTTTCATCAGAATTGTCTGTGGCAATGGCTTTGCAACTATGTATTGAGCCCAATAGACTCCTTGTGGGTACACACTGGAGACAAGTACAGAATTCATCATCAGTAGACTCAATAGTTCTTGGAGGAATAGAGCCATGCAAGCCCCCCTCTCTGATCTACGGTTAATATACCCCGGCTTATATAGGTCATGTTTGTCATGGTTCTGTCATGCCCAGAAGACAGCATCTCACAGCCCCTCCTCGCTATGTTCCAGCTCTTAGGTTCTTTCTACCATCCCCTGCTGTGATCTCTGAGCCTTAGCATAGGTGGTATAAATGTTCTGTGTAGCGCATTCACTTACTCACTTATTCTTAGCACCCTGAGCAGCCATGAATCTCTACACTCACTACTGTTCACTGAACAGAGAGACTTCTCTGATGAAGGCTGAGAGCAACATTTACCTATGGCATTAATATAGATAATAACTTCATACCATGACAGTTTAGCTAAAGAGTAGCCATAAGTTTGCCTCTGAGATCGATACAGCTATGAATTTTAATTGAGTTTAAACTACCATTTTGCAATGTTTTAAAATTTACAGGAAAATTGAAATGATAGTCAAAATTTGTTTAGCATGACCTAATGTGAATATATAAGGTCACCATCAAAATGGGAAAAATTGGACTGGACGTAGTGGTGCTTCCCTGTAATCCCTGCACTTGGGAGGCTAAACCTGGAGGATTGGGTTACATGAGGAATTCAAGGCTTTCCTAAACTATATAATGAAACCCTGTCTCAAAAAACAAAGAGCAAGGGACTAGAGAAATGACTCAGAAGTAAGAGCACTTCCTGCTCTTCAGCTCCTGGTACCCACAGGACAGCTTACTACCATAAGTGTTAACTCCAAGGGCTAACCCCCTCTTCTGGCCTCTTCAGGTACTGAGCACATGTGGTGCACAGATAACTGTAGGCAAAAAACCCATATGCATAAAATGAAAATAAATGATCTTTAAAAAAAATTAGTTTGGGTACAATATCATTAATGAAACTTGCAACTTTTTGTTTGTTGAGAATCAGTTTTTAGAACCTGCTAGACAAGCACACCACTATTCAGCTACATCCTAGCCATAGGTATAAATGTTGCTTGTGCTGACCTTTATCTGTTCCAGTTTCAATTACCGGCCGTGTTGCATTTAATCTAACACTTTAGTGTGAATTCATTTGAAAGCATAAAATAGACATAAGAAATCGAGTATACATTGTTTAATTTTATTAGCCAATTTAAATTTAAGCTGTTTGGCTTCGTTCTCAACTTTGTAGATTGTTTCTATCAATCTTCTGGTGTTTTCCTACCCACTCTTAATTTGATTCCCATGCTTTGGGTTATACTTGCACAAGTGGACCTAACAAGTTTATGTGGCTCAGGCCTTGGGCTCAGTGGAAACTGATGTTTCTTGTTGGTTGATAATTTTTTTTAAAAGAAAGACAATCACTATAGTACCTACTCCTACAGAGTACAGATTGCTTTAAGACCTGCTAAGTAACATAGCAAAGAGCTGCTGTGATGTGCTATTCAAATGTTATGACTCAGAAATACTGTAAATCGTAGGTCTGAAAATCTAATATGAGACCATTTGAATCCTTCCAAGTGATACAATGTGATGGGGTTAAAACAATGAGGGGGGGCTATCTACCCGCCAAGAGCATTATTTCTGTAAACAAAATGAAGCATTGTTAAAGTGGCATCCTCTAGGCATGGAGCAAGAGTTCCACGAAAGAGAAAGGAAGATTTACAGTATTACCTTCCTTTCTAGGAACTTGTGGTATAATCATTCTTTGATTTATACAACAATTTCTGGACTCAGAATTTGTCCCACACACTTGGCTATGAACAGGAACACTCCCATAGCTATTGGAATAACTGAGCAATAATTAAATAGAATAGTTGTATTTATGGCATGAGAAACACATTTTTTAACATTTTTTAAAATTTAAATAGCTTGTTTTACATGTCAATCCCAGTTCCCTCTCCCTCCCCTCCTCCCGCACCCCCCTACCATCCCCCCCCCATCCTCTCACCCTATTGCCAATTCCTTCTGCATAGGGGATATCTAGAGTCTATCATTTCATTCAGGGTAGGGTCCAGGCACTTCCCTAAGAGTCCAGGCAAAGAGAGCAACCCTCTTTGTGTTATGGACACACGATGTCTGTTAGTATTAGAGGGATAAACACTGATCCACTGCTCAGGACCCCATAGGTAGCCCAGGCCTCCTGATTGACTCTCACATTCAGGGGGTCTGGATCAGTCCCATGCTGGCCTCCCAGCTGTCAGTCTGGGGTCCAAGAGCTCTCCCCTGTTTGGATCAGCTGTCTCTGCTGGTTTTACCAGCCCATTCTTTGCCAATTTGCTCTTCGCTCCTCTCACCCTGTCACTGGGTTCCTTGGGTTCTGTTCAGTATTTAACTGTGGGTGTTTGCCTCTGCTTCCATCAGTCACTGGATGAAGGCTCCAGGATGGTTATAGACATCAAGTTCACTATCAGGAATAGGCATTCGAGGTGGTCTCTACACTATTGCTTAGCTTGCCAATTGGTGTCATCCGTTTAGATCACTTGAGGTCACAATGGTGCCTGATCTGTCTTCTAACCTTTGATTCCCTCTTCTCCCACCCGACCCCCCCAGTCGACCTTCCTGTTCCTCAATGTCCTACTCTCTCTTCC